TCGGAGTTCGAGTCCCGGTAGTGTCAAGAATTTTCTCTTCTCCACGTCCTCCAGACCCAGCCACCTATCCAGTGGGTACCGGGGCTCCTTCCCCGGGGTTAAAACGGAAGGTCCGTGAAGCTGATCACTCACCTCCAGTTATTGTTGAGGTCAAGAGAATGTGGTTCTGTACATCCACTCCCCCATACGCCTTCATGGCGTAGTGCTTAATTAGTTAAGCACAGGGGCAACTATATATTTTACTGTTCTACTAGATGACACAGAAGAGTCTTCTTCGCAACTACCGCTATGAGAACCCCAAGCCCAGTGTTCTTTAAACTGCTCCTTGGGGAGCATACTGAACGTAAGGGGGCCAGCTGTGATCTGCGCTCAAACAGCCTTGCAGCAAGAGAGAACACAAAACAGTATAGCGGAAGCCTGAGGAGGAACGTGGAAAGGGGTTGGATATTTACAAAGGAAGGTAAGAGGGCCGGTAGAAAAGGACGCATTGGACTGAATTGTCAAAAACTTTTGAGTAGAGAAGTCCGAGAAAGTTTGTAAGGAAACGGAACAACAGGAAGCCCGGAAGGAAAGCGAAACAAGAGAGAAGTTACAAAGAACTTGGACGAGAAAAGGGTGGGCCGGTGACGTATTCTGGATGCCCCGTACTCTTCTTAAGAGTACCAAACAACACTGATGATGATGATGACTGTGACGATGACTAGGCCGCGCCATAGCTCAAGGGGTTAGTCGCTGGCTTCCCACCGCGGCGGCCCGGGTTCGATTCCGTGTCTGGTCAAGTGGGATTTGTGGTGGACAAAGTGGCACTGGGGCAGGTTTTCTCCGAGTACTTCGGTTTTCCCTGCCAATTTTCATTCTACCAATTGCTCCACAATCACCCTCACCTATCATCTGGGGCTGGTACAATAGGCCAGAAGTGACCGCAGTACAGGGACTCAATCCCACCCCACTAGCAGTAAGAACATGGCGATGACTAAGACTGCTGAGTTCTTGTTCTCTCTTCTAACAGTTTGGTTTAGCTGTGACGCTCTCGATTTGTGTGTGGGAGACAGCCATTTCGGATTTCGCTTTTGGTACAGTTGTGCTTACAGGTTTCTCTTGCATTTCCTACGCTTCTCTCGAGGAGGTTCTTAAAGAGGCGACTTCAACTTCTTTCCATGCAAAGTGCTTGCTGCCAGGTACGAGTATATGCAAGAGCTGCTTCAACATTAAGAGCCTCTGAACTTCCTAGAGATGTTATGTATGGGTTTCGTGTGATTCTCGGTATAAACAGTCATTAATTTCCCATAGAGCCCTAACCGATTGGTCTTTGTAATGGCGACGTAGTGTGTTTTCTTTGAAGTAAGAACTTCAGTATACATACATGCTATTTACACGTAGATTTAAATTTGTCGTTTTGTAATTCCTTACTGTGGAGGCCACCAAATTATTTTTCTCCTCTGTACAATTCACGATTATTCTGAAAATGAAAATTCTGCAGCCACAACTTCTCACCATAGCAAGAAGTGATGCTCTCTCTCGTTCTTCCACTACTTTCCCCGTTCGCTTCTCTTACAAAGGTCCACAAACTTGGAACTTACCTAAATTAATGGATTCTCCATAGTTCAGTAGCCACAGAGACTAAGCTGTGGGCTTGATGAATCTGAGCCATGAGTTTCCCAAGCAGACACTGTGCTGCAGAACCGGCGAGTGCTGGACGAGTGGATTATTTATTACGTCCATTACAGTTTGGACTTCGGGGCATCGGGTTTTGAGCCCCTTATCGTGTGCTCAGGCTTTGGGCTTACGTAAGATGGTGAAGCTATGCCATTGTGGGAACTGCCCACATCCAAGCAATGGTACCTGAGCTGTTAACTGTAACGTTTGCTTGAATGTGGGCAGTTCCCACATCATTAAGAGACCGTGGAGGCCCATAGAGTTGTGAGACGTCGAGTCCCCCTCATTTTCTAGAAAATCTGCTCACAGATGGCGGTGACGTTGTCAGACTTAGGCGACGGCCGCCCTTTACCCCCCAGGAAAATTTCTGCTACTCATTTCTGTTAGAGGCTGAATACAGTCCCAAGAACATAATGCCGCTGGAAGGATTAAGTCAATTGAAAAATCAAATGAATCGAACCCGCGACTTTGAGGCTAGTAGCATAGTGCCTCAACCATTTCCTATAATATAGAGCTCATGTATAACATATAAATATTTCTGTGATACATGTTCTGTTTTACTCATAACAACTACTCAAAGGTACTCATATATGTAATTTCTATTTCATTTTCTTTTTGTCTTATATCCCCTTATTTAGCGACATATTTGATCATATATACCTTCCTGTATTCTACCACTGCATCTTAATATTGCGTCCAGACCGCTTCTGAGCCCACCCATCCTCCTATCCAATGAGTAAAGCGGCCGAGGCGTGAAGCTGACCACTCTCCTCCATCTTGTGTGGAGGTCAAGAATAGTGGAGCTACATCTCCGCTCTCCAACATGTCTTCATGGCATAGTGTTTAATTAATTAATCGGAGGCTAAAATTCACTTTCTACCCCTTTAATACCCGTTCCCTCGTAGAAATATTTGAATCTCTTGTTTCGAAACCTATTTACTCCTAATCTTCGTTCCTTCACGCCTCAGCCTGACGCTCTGCACCAGGGGCAAATTCGTTCTTCATTGTTTTTTCTTTCTTTCTTTCAACCCCATTCTCCACGAGGGACACTCGGGTGAACAGACTGCAAATGAAGCCCCTTCACACATTTACCCAATTCTTTTCACTTTTTAATGTAATTATCACTGGCCTTATCAGGCGTATGAGATCGCTTTGTCATCTGTCTGTATGTTTCTGTATGTGTGTGTGTCTACATGTGTATCCTCTTATGAAAACTGTTTGTTCCCCTAACCAGTCTCCATAAAACTTGGTATGTATATCGTGCCACCTGAGGTCACCTCAACGGCGTACTACATAAAGGCTCCTAAAAATTTGTGGTGTTATTCCCGAGTACAAATAGGTGTATTATTTTATCCCGTTGCAAGAATTCTGTTTTGTTTTCACTTCTTCGCTTCTCCAAGAAATGCACACGGCAAGAGATTTCACCTTTTCTCAATACACGTGTTACAAAAAAGCTCTTTTGATCTAAGTCGGATGTTCTGATCAAAGAATATGACTCAGAAAGTTGTAACACAGGCGGTGTTTGTTATCGTGTCCTTTCTTTTGCAGGACGTATAAAAGACGTAATACTACTTACGTTAACTGGGAACAAAGACGTAATTTAAACGAGAATAAACTTTTGATCGTTATAAAAATATCAGTTTCATACATTACCTTCGACATAATTTATGAGAACACAAAAGGCAGAATGTAGAAATGGAAAGAGAGTAAGCATTGCTTTAGCTCACAGCTCAATAAACAGAGATGTGACGTGATGCGAAAATTCTGTGAAGAGTTTTGGAAGCAGAATATCTGAATTCAAGAAGTTGTTTCCCTCCCGTGTTGCCCCAGTAATCTTGCTGCCTAATGTCTGCAGAAATCACAGTAAGCTCCTTAGGTACCATAAAATCGTACGGATAAAGGAGACAGGGTTGTCAGTTCTTAGTTTCTCTTCCTTCCATAGATCCAAAAATCGTGACTACAGGGACAATTGATCTTTCTAAATACAGCGTACACGGTATGGCTACGGGCTAGGCGACCTGAGTTCAGTTCCCGGCAGTGAAAGTTTTTCTCTTCTCCACAGAGTCCAGAACAACTCTAGACCTCACTCAGCCTCCTGTTCCATTGGAACTGGGGGCTCTTTACGCGGCGTTAAAGCGCAAAGTGCGTGAAGGTGACCACTCACCTCCATTTAGTGCTGAGGTTAAGAATGGTGGAGCTATACCTCCACTCCCTCATATGTCTTCATGGCATTGTGTTTAACTAACTAAGCATAGGGACAATTTTATCTTCTGTTAACCAGTCGCTCATTGACTATATGGCGCGTCTAATACGGGCATGAATATAAATTAGAAGCTTCCTGTCAGTTTATTGTTTCCTAGCGTGGACCTTCCAGAGAACGTCGGAGGCACGAATTGTACTCAGTAATCTTGTAGGGTTGTGAGACGTCGAGGCTCCCACATTTTTCTAGACAAGCGGTTTCAGATGGCGATGAGATTGTCAGCCTTACGCGCCGGCTGCTGTTTACCCCGAGGAACATTCCTGGTACTCATTTCTGTTAGAGGCTGAGTCGATCTAAGGGCCATAGGGCAGCTAGAAAAATTCATTTCGTTCATCAGTAATCTGTCAGACGACAGGTCCACAGTCTCTCCCAAAACAGTTCCTCCACTTAATGCGATCTACAGATTTCTCCTTCAAATGAGAATATCCTCTTCTGTCCCCAAGGTCATCCAGCATCTTCTTACGTCTTCTGGTTCGCATACATGGTGTCTCTGTTTTTGGAAAGAGACTATCCAGGAAAAGTGATAATGTGGTAGTTTTTCCATTTGCTTTCCACATCGCAGTACATCAGCCGTTCAAACCACTCTGGTCACGCCTGTTGCTATACGAACTTGAACCATCTCGAGCATCATTTGTTCTGTGCTTCAAGTCGCTGCTTCCGGCATCAGTTTTTGGTTTTTGGTGTCCCTCTTCGTCTGATGCCTACCCTTTGACCTGTCCAGCAAAGGAGGCCCTGCCAGTAGCTACGCTACCGCTGGTATAGCTCTCAGGGTCCTTGGCATACTCAAACCCCCTCACCACGATAAGGTGGAGGCACCAACGAGGGGGTTAGAAAGATTAGGTCAATTGAAATATCCAATGACCACATCGGGAATCAAACCCGCTAGCTTCCGGCTTGTTGTAAAGTGCCTCAACAAAGTACGCTACACCGTCCCCCTCCCCTTCATGTAATTCATGCAAGTGTGCCTGTTGTCCCACCCCAGCGCCGCACTGCCTCGTGTTTCTTGTGCCACTGTTGCTGTGCGGCACTGGGGTGGGACCCTCGTGGCTGCAGTCGGCCATCACCCTCTCTCTGACGCGGTGCCATCGCATTCTTGTGCACGGGCTCCAGTCGTGAAAATGGCTTGAACTCACCAGAAGCGGCAGTGTGAGTGCGTGTGCCTTGTTCAGTGCTGTGTGTGCTACTCTTCTCAGACAGATATATTCTTCCGTTATTTTGCGATTCTGAATCAACTGCGTATGTTACACAGAGGCAAATGATTTTGAATGGTGAGTTTTGAGGATGTGAGAGGGAATGACCGCGCTTTGTCTGATGGTGCAATCCAAGCGAAATTCTGAGGTGGGATGTGTGGTTTAACGGCTGTAGGTATAGGGATTAGGATCATCTGGGATTTGACGCCATGTAATTACGTAGACGTGTACCAATTTACTGCCTCCATCTTCAGGATGGTTGAGTGCTCTTGATTTTATTGCATATCCTCGCCTTCTTCCCTACAGAGTTAACCTTAAAGCCCGCCCCAGTTCCAGTACAGGGTGTGTAACCTAGCAGTATCTATTCTTTTTCGTAAACTCCAGTTTTAAATTAAAAACAACTGTCCCTGTAACAGGCTGTGGAGGCCCATATGGTTGTGAGACGTCGAGGCTCACACATTTTCTAGATAATCGGCTCACAGATGGCGGTAAGGTTGCCAGCCTTACGCGCCAGTCGCCCTTTACCGCCAGGAAGATTCCTGATACTCATTTCTGTTAGAGTATGAGTCGACCCCAGGGCCATATTGCGGCTGGAAGGATTAGGTCAATTGAAGAATCTAATGACCTCATCCTGAATAGAAACCACGACCTTCCGGCTTGCACATAGTGCCTGAACCAGTTATCGCGTGCTCCTCTAGTTTAAAATAGGTTCCCATAACCTTTGCTCCAATAGACCTATTCTCTGGAGGGGTCCTCTACGCTTTGTCTGTAACCGTTTCTTTGCTGTCTCGAATACATCAACTTCTCTCATGTCTTGCTTCATTATAGCACCCGGTTGAGTACCTCAATCGTCACTTATGCAAACTGTGCTTAGTACAGTTTGTAATGTGAAGCTCGCGAGGAGAACTGTATAATTCGTATGAAGTGTAGCAGATTAATTTTGGGGACGTGTTTGTGGATAGAAACATCAGCGAACAACAGGTGCCCTGTAGAGCAACATGTAAGTGAGCTGCTGACAAATTTTGGCTCCCTTATCCGGAAAACAAAGGTAAAATGTCATTCCTGTGTTTAACTCATTAAGCACTACGCTATGAAGGCCTGGAGACATTGACCTGGGCACTAGATAGAGGTCAGTGGTCACTTTCACGTCCCGATCTCTTTAACCCTGGGGGAACAGCCCCGGAGCCCATTCAGTAGGCTGGATGAGCCCCCAGAGCAGTTCTGGATGCCCTGAAAGGTAAAGTTGTCCCTGTGCTTAACTTATTAAGCACTACGCCATGAAGGCGTATGGTGGAGTGGCTGTATAGATCCACATTTTCTTAACCTCGGGACTAGTTGGAGGTGAGTGGTCAGCTTCATGTCTCTGCCGATTTACCCTCGGGAAAGAGGCCTTTGTACACATTTGATAGGAGGCTGTGTGGGCCCCCCGATCCGATCTGAACGACGTGGAGAAGAGAAAATTCTTGGCCCTACTGGGACTCGAACTCATACCCCTCGGTCGTCTAGTCCGTAGCCAAGGTAACTGGCGCCAAAATTGTATTTGTCGGACCGAGAAAACGTTTCACATTTAAATTCTAGCCGAAATTGAAACACATTTTATATCCAGTACATGTTTTCCTTATATCTTAAAGTTATAAAGATAATTAAACAAGAGGTAATTCATATGCTACGCGTTAATTTCATACTGCTGTAATATACATCACAGAGAATGACATTTGCAATGAGTCTTGCTCCGAATACTTTATTAGTCTGTTGTCCGTTTTAACATTAATGTCACAGAGGGACACCAAATTAAAGGAAATGAATGCGTCTCTGCGGATTTAGACACGTCATTTCATGCGGAAACCGCTGCGAATGCTGAAAACAATTGAAGGCGAGGCAGAAGCCGATCTGTCAGTAAACCGGAAACACGTCAGACGGGTCTGCAGAGTGCAGAGGGTGAGTGTGTCTGAAGGTCTGAAGTGTCTATCATGTACGCACTTCAGGAACAGTTCTTTGGTACGTCACTATAACTCATACATGGAGAAACGCTACAGTCTCCTGCAGAGCAGGTTGGCTCAGCGGTGACGATCTAGCTATCGAAGAGTTCTTGGTTTAGTTCTCGACTAGGACCCCAGCAGAGCTGACTGAGATAGTACAGTGGTTTTCTCTGTCCCTCCAGACATGTGGCTAAGACCGTTTCATTAGTTCATCAGTCCTTCCTTTATGCGATACTTTATGCTCTAGAATGTCGTTATATAACCAACAAGAAAACTGCAACCATATAAATATATAAAAAAAAAATTTAATACTATCCCCTTCCTCTGGGTTCACGAACTATCCCCGGCCTCAGCTACCAGCTTCTCACAGCAGTAGCTCACAAAAACTGAATCGCAGCGGCCGTTTTACTCACTCAATCGCTCACTAACGAACTCAATCCATTCCACTAACTGACTCCTCACTAACTGTACTGTACACGGACTGCACAAAACCGTTCCTTTGTTCCTGTTTACGGGCCGTTGCCTAGTAACGGCCTGTTTCGCCGTCGTTGCCTACCAACGGGTCTACATGCCACAATATTAAAATTTTTAACACGCTGAAATATGAAATTCATGTAAAAATTAATTAAAGCTTCAGTGCCGACCTCACAGGTAACTGTACCCCTCCATTACAGGGACCAGCTGTTAATGTGCACGGAATTAATCTCTGTTTATTTTGAGACCCATATGAAGCATGTAAACACAAGGAAAGCCATGCAGTATTCACAATTCATTTTTATTGAATAATACAATCACAGTTACTGTACTACGCTACAAGCCGGAAAATTGAGGCTTCGATTCCCATTTAGGTCAGTAGATTTTTTAACCGACCTAATCCTTTCAGCCGCACAGTGGCCGTAGGAGCGACTCAGCCTCTAACAAAAATGAGTACCACGAATCTTCCGAGGTGGGGGGGGGGGAGAGAAAAACGCAGCTGGCGCGTAAGGCTGACGAACTCACTGCCATCTGTGAGCCGATTGTCTAGAAAATGTGGCAACCTCGACATCTCACAACCCTATGGGCCTCCACTGCCTGTTACACGGATAGCTTCGCCTTTTATAGGACACGATAGGATAGGGCCAAGCATTTCCTAAATTTAATGTGCTGTTAATTGCATTGGCGAACTTTCAGGTAAGGGTGAACATATTGAACATTGTAGTGTACGAGTAGTTTTCTGATAGTGCCGAGCGAGTGACTGCTTGAGTGGCGTCTGGAAGCAGCCTCGAGTAGACTCACTAGTGGACTGTGAGGAGGCCGGAAGATGCGGTGCTTCACTTCTCTTTGCATTGCGATCTGTGCAGCCGTGTGCTCTGCTATCCCACGAGAACTGCTGTATCCACATGGAGCTGGGATAGATCTGGTTCTTCCTCAGGACCAAGATGAAGCTGCTAGTCCTGAAATCGCTCTTCAAGTACCCATCGTGTTTTACGGCGAGTCCTACAACTCCATTTATGTAAGTTTATCTCTCTTTTGCTTCATCTTCACAATTCCGTTTGTGGTCTAATGTTGAACGATTTCAGTTTTGATGGAAGTGAATGCTCGGTTCGTCTTCCGGATTATGGCACCGTGTAGTCTTGTAGGCGGATACAGACTTTTCGGAAGAACATCTTCGGGGTCGAAGTAAATGGGCTGAAAGCCGTGGGCATTGGAAAGGGGAGAGGGGGAAAGCCAGGCATTTTCACCCTACCTGAATTTTTAGAAAAATATATTTTTTTTAATTGTCCCTGTGCTTAACTACAATTAAGCACTACGCCATGAAGGCGTATGTGGGAGTGAATGTATAGCTCCACATTTTCTTGACCTCGGTACTAGCTGGAGGTATCAATCATTAGTACTAAAAATTAAAATCGTCTTTCAAACTGCCACAATATGTGTTTCAACATGGAGACCCACAACTATGGGGTAATTTGTAGAGATATTGTTCAAAGACTTAGGGCGACGGCACACCAAACAAACCGACAGCTGCAACGCAACAGCAACTTCCGTGAAAAGTCACCGATTTCATGCAGGCACCTGGTTTCCAGATTAGCAGGCGCACACTGAGGAAACTGAAGTTTGATAAGTTGATCACATCATCTTAAGTGGTATGTTCTTCTGACTCTATGCGTGTTTGTAACTGATAATAGTAATAATAATAATAATAATAATATCACACACACTACGGAAAGTGCTACAGTGTGAAGCTTGAAGCCTGAGTGGTGAGGTGCATCACTGGTTCAAGAAAAGGAATACCAGGAAATAAACCTGTGACAAGAGATGATGATGATGATGATGATAATAATAATAATAATCTGGAGGATAATGAGGTCGGAGTTAGAGTCCTGGTAGGGTAACAACTTTTCACTTTTCCATGTCGTCCAGATCGGCTCTGGGGTCCACCCAACTTCCTATCCAATAGGTACCGGGGTTTGTTCCCCGGGGGTAAAGCGGCCGGGGCGTGAAATTGACCACTCGCCTCCAACTAGTGCCGAGGTCAAGATAATGTGGACTTATACATCCACTCCCCCATACGCCTTCATGGCGTAGTGCTCAGTTAGTTAAGCACAGAGACAATAATAGTAACGGTTTATCTGTCGCCGGTATAGTGACTGAGCTACGGGCTGGATGGCCGAGGAATCGCTTTTGATTCTCGACTGGTGCAAGAGATCAGTCTTCTCTCCGCACCGTTCAGACCGGCCCCAGGTCCCGCTTAGCGCACTCAACCTCTTGTCTTGAGGGTACCGGAAGTTATTTCCCGTGCGTAAAGCGGCCGCGAGGGGTGAGGATGGAGGCTGACCACTCACCCCTGTCTACCGAGAGTTTAGGATGCTTGCACTGTACCTTACGCCTTGGCTGCGCGGTACTAAATCAAGCACAGGGACAAATTTGCCCTTCATTTTTAACTTGCTTAGTGACCCTTCCCAGTTATATGTGTGGGTGTATGAGAGGATAAATGTGAATGGTGAATTAATTGGGAAGGATGTGGAAGTCATTATTGTAGCATGCAGATTCCTAACACGCACCAATGGACTAACTGGGAAGCGATGTTCTCTGCGTGGTCCGTGTGATAGATGCTTGACGCAACAATAGAAGAGCTGTGGGGACAGGTGTTTTCTATGCCGTTCCTGTCGAGGTGTTATAAGCAGGAGAGGTCAAGATTTTATTTAGTTTTGGGATAGTCGCCAGCCGATGAGAACGTCAGCACGGAAGCAGAGGACATTTTTGGGATCCGTTACCAGGCAACAACTGGTGAAGATACAGCAGACTGAAAAGAGTGCGTACTGTAGTGAAGTGCAGAGTATGTGAATTAGCGATAGCGCTGTAGTTTCTGTAAGTGGTCAATAAATTCACTGTAGTCACTGTAACACGTGACAATATGTTCTTAAGGTGCCATCCCAGAATGTGTCTAGATTGAGAAGCATAAACTCCCCAAAACCAGGTTAGCTCGTATAGAGACCCAAAACACGAACTCTGAAATTTCTGAGAACGGGACGCTGTGTGTTGAGCAGTCGCCATATTTATAATTCAGATTATCATATTCTGACCTCAGAAATATCACTGAAGCTGCTGAAATTGCGAATATGAACCTTATGGACTGGGCTTTACGTTCCCTGGTTCAGTTTAAACGCTGAAACTGCAGAAGCAAAATGTCTTCCTGATCTCTGATGACGTAATGAGTATTGCATTTGAGTGTGTGAATGGTTCGACTTGGAACCCACGAAGGGGATTAATGAATTCATTTGCTTGTCACGTGGGTCTGTGCTCGTCTGTCTGAAAGAGACCGCTCTTCCCGGCCCAGCCATTCCGTAACGCGGATAGGAAACAGAGGCTCATAACCGGTCCAACAGGGCGTACTGAAATCCCTTAACTATCCTCCAGACAGCAGGACTGTAATGTATTTAAATTTGTTATTTAGTTTCATGCTGAATTATTGGTCCAAAGACAAGTCAGAAAGTTGGCAGTAGCCGAGAGAAAAGTACGTATATACGTACACACATACTAAGAAAAAAGTCAAGAACAAAGCAATTTATATCATCAAAATAATGATGATGATGATAATAATAATAACAATAATAATAATATAATAATCCAATTTCCACAAATGAGAACTGAGAGTGTTTAACTGTAGGGTACTGAGGAGAATATCTGGACCGAAGAGAGATGAAGTGACGGGAGGCTGGAGAAAACTGCATAACGAGGGGGCTTCATAACTTTTACTCTTCTCCAGGTGTAATCAGAATGCTCATGTCAAGGAGGATCAGATTGGCAGGGCATGTAGCACGAATAAGGACTAAGAGGAATGCATATAGGATGATGGTGAGAACGCCAGAATGAAAGAGACCACAAGAAAAACAAGGCGTAGGTAGTTGGATAATATTAAAATTGAAGTTAGAGAGGTAGGATGGAGTGGCATGGACTTGACCGATCTGACTCAGGATAGGGACCAGTGGAGGGCTGTTGTGAACACGGTAATGAACCTTCGGGTTCCACAAAACGTTGGAAATTTCTTGAGTAGCTGCAGAACTGGCTGCTCCTCCAGAATGGCTCAGTTCCCTGTAGTGAGTTTACACAAATGAATTGTTATCAGTAATAGCAGAGAAAAATACGAGCGTATGCCCTTATTTACATCGAATACAACTAGTATCTCAGTAAATAAGGAGATAAATATAATTGAAAAGAAACACTCATTTCTATTAGAGGCTCAGTTGATCCCAGGGCCGTAGTGCGGCTTAAATAAGTAGGTAAATTGAAAAACCCAGTGACCACATCGGGAATCGATTCCGTGACCTTTCGACTTGTAACATAGTGTCTCAACCAACCCTAAACTCTATGAGACTTGAGGTTATCATGGTCTTGACGTATGTCAACTTTTGTCTTATGGAATATTAACACCATACAGTATGCTAAATACGGTATTTATCGACGTTTCGTAGAACTAAGTTGGAGAGTGACTGCAGGAACCGGGAATTATGTTCCGGTCTCTGAACCTCAGTGAGAAGGACAAGGTACATACGAGCATGGCTTCCTTGTTTCTTGGTCTGTAGAACCTTGGGACTCTCCCTTCCTAGGAGATAACTGTGTGACATTTGAGGATCTCACGGGTGTGAGTAAGAAATTATCTTCTATTCTGAAAATTGAGGCGCCACGTTCCTCCATACGTCGATATATATTGTGGCATGTCCCGTTGCTAGGCAACGACCGCGAAATGAACAGGTATACAACAGCCTTTACTAGGCAGCGGCCAATAAAGAGCAACATAAGAACGGTGTTTTCTGTGCTGTCCGTGCCGAGATATTATAAGCAGGACAATTTAGGATTTGAGTCAGTCGGTTGGTGAGTTAGTAAGTGAGTTAGAGGAGTGCTGAGGCTCAGTCGTTTCGAGCTGTTGCTGTTAGAAGCTGGTAGCTGAGGCACGGGGATAGAGCGGGAACCCAGAGGAAGGGGATCGTCCGCCGTTAGAAGCCGCTGCCAAGCGACGACTAGTGAAGACGTGACTGTGGACACTGGCGTGTGTGTGTAATAGCGAAATATAAGTGGAGTCACGTGCTGTATCAAAGAGTCCAATAAATCCGAACATCAATCCAAACTCCATCTATGCTCACTCAATCATGTAAACTTAAATATCGTCATATTGTAGTATGACTGATGAATGGTAAATTAGAAGAAGATTTCGATTAAAGTGATCGTGGCCAATTTTATGAGATGTCCTAAAATTTGTGTGGCGAGATGAAGAACCCACGAGGAATCTCGGCGTGATCGAAGCACCGACCGAATTTGGAACCGGGGAATTCCCCAACGTGAGTCAGAAGCACTGTTACTGCTACAGTCCGTTGTGTCCTCATATTCTTAGCTTCTTCCTGAGTATCATTTCGTTTTTGTGCGCGTTTATTTTACGCGTTTGCGCCCCTTTGGGGCTGTTCTGGAGAGCAGATACTGATGTGGGACATTTGAATCTGGTTGCGCGCGTTTACGCGTCTTCCCCTGCTCGTGACCATATTGTCTTCTTAATTAGGAACAGGGTCACAAAGTGGTTTGAATAATCGCCGGGCAGCCACGAACCCAGCTGAGTGAACAGACCGCCCCCTCACTCTGAACTGGTGTCTCTCTTTCGAAGCCTTAGTGCAAAACAGACTCAAAGCTATATCATTTTCGTGCAAACTTCCATTCAGGCAGTGTTCCAGAGGTATGTGCTAAATTAAGAATCTGTTCTTGTAAACCACGTATGGTTTGCAATTTGACTCTAGAATCGAAACTAAAAATGAAATAACCAGTAAATATCCATCACTGGCGTTCAGAATCTTAAGGACATTGAAAGGCAATTACATTGTCACGTGAGGGAGTGACTCTCAACGGGGGTTTGGATTGGATGTCAGATTTCTTGACCACTTCAGCAGACAACTCGTAATTACACTTAATTACAGTACCATCGCTTATTTCCACACACTTAACAGATCACTGTCTTTTTTAAGTCCGCGGTGTCTTCACTAGCAATTGCCTGGTAACGGTTTCTAACAATGGCCAGTCTTCTGTTTCCAGCTTCCTGCCGTCTGAACGGCGACTCTCTTCTAACTGAACTCTTATCTTCACAGAACTGACTCTGTTGCCCCACTTGTCTTCCTTATAACCCCTCGGCACGGACCAGGGTAGAAAACCCCATTTGCAACAGTACCTCCCAATGTTGCACGTCGATTCGTCGCTGTGGAGGCGTGTTTATTTGCGATTGTTACCTAGTAACGGCTCTGGTGTGTTTGTTAACTCGCGACCGTTGTTGCATAGCAACGGCTCTACATGCTTCAATATTATTAATGTGTTTAACAGAGGTTTTGAAACTGCCAGAAACATTCAGAATGATAGAATGAAAAGCACGCATGTGGAAATTGTGCGCTCTGGTAGTTATTGCACTTGCTTATATATAATTATTTATAAACAACCCAGATTATAGTCTGAGAATGAAATAAATTAGTGTCAATTAATTAATTAAATTTGTTTTAAATTCTCATTTTGAATGACATTTCTGAATCTTTGAATAATTTTCGTTCTGGTACTATAGTACCATTTCAAACCAATAAAGTTACTTCAGCACAAAATTTAAGATAAAAATGAAATTTTAAGATTCAGTTAAAAATTAAATACTGCCTGAAGATTATCCAGCTGGGTCGAAATATGTAGCAGATACAGAATAATAAACAAATGTTAATATAGTAATATTTATATAATTGGAATTTGTTGTGTTGATGGCTACAGATTATTTGCCCAAGCGGCATTAACATGTTAGTGTTTATAGGGGGGTTGTGAGGTATATAGGAATTATGTGAACCATCAACACAACAAATATACTCAGTTTTAATGTTTTACAATTTGATCTTTATTGCTGCTACATATTTCGGTCATATAAGACCATCATCAGGCAGTTTGTATAGAAACATGTACAGTTAGTGAACTACCGATACAGATCCATACCAGTGCAATGTGTCATATTTTATACTGACATAAAAATTTTGCCTCAAGTTGGTGTTACAATTAAAAGTAGATGATACAAAATAAGATAAAAGATTAAATATACAAAAAGTATACCATGTAGCAGCCGGTCACGGTAGCCGAGCGGTCTAAGGCATGCACTGTCATCGCTCGCTCGGAAGCCGGGATCGTGGGTTCGAATCCCACTCAGGGCATGGATGTTTGTGTGCGTTTTTCTGTGTTTGTCTACAGGTAGAGGCCTTGAGACGAGCTGATCACTCGCCCAAGGAGTCCTACCCTATGTGTAAGATCTAGTAAATCGAAGTGAAACGGAGTTTCATGGAGGTAGGCCTAGGCCCAAATTTGGGCTGTAGCGCCACAGGAAAAAAATACCATATAGCAAGGTTTATAATGTGTTGAATAGATTGTGGAATATTAAAAATATTAAAAGTATTTTAAAAATTGTTTAAAAATATATGAATTTGTTTTAATATGGTAGGTTAAGAAATACACTAGTATGTATGCCAACTTAAAATACTAAGGTTTCAATGCTACTATGTAGAAATTGGGCATGTATGTTGTTTGTAGGTCTTGTTGTAGAAGCTTTCTGCATAGTAAGCCTGGTTGTGGAGCCCAAAGACAAGTTTCTATGATGTAAGGGTTGTTGGTGTGTGCTATATTGGTATGCTATTCCCACGATATGTATCTTTATGTAATCGTACAATATGGCGTATGTGTTTCTTGTCTGGGCATATATACATTCGGTGTGTTCTACACTGTGTGTTGGTTTGATGTAGCCTTTATTTTTTTAAATATATTTTTTAGACATTTTTAAAGGTTTTTAAAGGCTAAGGTTATGCAAATTATTAAGGCAGTTAAATAAAAAGAACAGGTAGAATCGCGAAACTACGATCGTGGGGAAGCCCACAACTTCAGTACTATCATAACATATTTAAGGACGCTATTTCTATGACTTCAAGAATTTGAACATGTATACAAATAACTTCGAAACCACTCTCTGCACAGAGTATTGAACTGGTTCTTTGCAAGACAGTTTCCACCCCGCTCATGATAGCAAAAACATGTGCTAAACACTCTCATAACTGAGTCCATCCATAAAACTTTATAAACAGTTAATAAAGTGTTTTGTGTAACAACAGCAAGGAAAAAGATTTTAATTTAAATGGTGATAACTCAAGGACAAATTCATTAATAAGTTTTGTCAGTGTAAACAAGGGCAACTTAATCACGGTTTGTTTATTACCAACCATTGATAGTGTATATCAGTTTGTGCAATAAATCAGTGACTATGTTCTTGGAATAACCATAAAAACAGATTATCATTAAGTGAAGCTTGTAGCCATTCATCAGCCCTGAGATTATCATGTGAACCAAGCCCAGAGGAAAACACTCTTCAACTGTTGTTTTTTTCTAACATCACAGGAAACCTGCAAATATTCTCTGTGGAGAAAATTCAGCAACATTTCATGACATATTAACTAGTTAATAGTAACTACTTTTATTTTTTTTATTGCAACTGTGCTCTTTTTAGGCTCAGGTACTGATAGCTGGTATCCAGTTCCTGCTGTCAGGAATCAAGCCTCAGCTGTTTCTGTTCCTCTTACGGGAGCCTTGCACACTGATCTGTTTTGCAGAGTTGCAGCCATTATGTTAGAAAGTTTAACTATAAATTTGTTTGAAATTTTGTTAAGCGTTGTTTTTTATATAATTTTTACCTGAGATTCATGACAGATGAAATTGAAATGGAAGAGGAGTTTCTATGAATTCCTTCAATATTCCCAAACTAATCTTTGTTCCACCATTGCTCCATGCTCATCTGTCACTGCCCATTTGAGGCGTTATGTTAGTCTGACCAGGAAGCACACTCATGCCCAAGGTTAAGGTGAGACTTTATTTTACTTGGTACTTCACTGGTCACAGATTAAGGATGTTAAGCAAGTTGAATAAATCTTTTCATTGAAACTTGCGCAAAGACCTTGGTAATTAACATTAATCAATTCTTAAATGATGTTTTCATTCATTACATGTTTATGCTGCACAGAATGCCTTCTTATAAGAACTAATATTCTTTGCTTACTGGAAATATATAATTTAAAACTGTTTTCAGAGATGCATATTTCAGTTTCAGAAGTAATTTTAGTGGTTTGTAGTGAAGGCTCTTGTAACCTACACAGATACAATTATATTTTTCCACCAATAAATTGCTTTAATTCCTTAGAATTTGTTTTTAGCTGACAATACAACATTGTTTTAATGTAGGGTAAGAAATAGCACAATGAACTTGTACATATTTCTGCAGGTGAACTCCAATGGTTTGCTGTCATTCCTGACAGAGATTCCAGTCTTCTTCAACATACAGTTTCCCTTAGACTACCCAGTCATCGCACCTCTGTACACAAATGTAGACACCAGGGCCAGTGGTGCTGTTTACTACAGGTAAACTATTTGTGATCTGTGCAATATTTGAATTTGGAACCTCCCAAAGTAACCAGCAGAAGTGCAAACCCTAAATGGTGATGTTCCGTGTCTTCTGCTCTAAAATGAAATTGCATGACTATGTATCTTTTTTTCAGAGAAACACAGGATGCGTCACTGTTACAGAGGGCAACAGAATCAGTTCATGAAGCCTTCAGTTATGGAGCTGATTTTGAAGCCTCAAGTTTATTCATAGCCACTTGGAAGGATGTTGGGTACCATAATCGGAGAGCTGATAAGGTATTTTTATGGTAGGATTCAGTTGAACCTGTACCAAACAAGGGTGGATGAGAAAGTAACAAGATAAGGCCCTACTACAAGTATGAATGTAATGGTGAGCATTTCCCTCTAACATATAGAGAATATGCAGCACTGTAAGACGGTCTTATTCATATAAAATCTCTGGTAGTAGCTACTAACAGTAACCTATAAATTTCTCCAGATGTACATGTAGCCAGAGGAGAACACAAAACTGCTATTGTTAGAATCTCATCATTAGAACCATAAAGGAGAATTCTGTACAAAATGAGATTAGAAACTTCATCACGAGGTAATCAACCTCTAATCCCACTGGACGCAACAGTGGTCATGTTGACATGCCTCAAATTACAGGTCATGTGAGGTACATCTATAAGTAGTCTTACAAATATAGGTCAGGAGCACTAGTTATTTTCATTTTGCAAAAGTTAATTAGTATTCTAATTCCCTGACCCTAGAAATACTGTTTAATTTACTTTCTTCATAGGTAAAACATAAAAAACGGTAAAGCTATCCTTGTAACAGGCCATGAAGGCCCATAGGGTTGTGAGACATCAAGGTTCTCACAACTTCAGACAGTCTGCTTACAGATGATGGTAAGGTGGTCAGTCTTATTTGGCAGCCACCCATTACCCCCCAGGAAGGATCCTGGTACTCATTTCTGTTAGAGGCTGAGTCGACCCCAGGGCCATAGTGTGGCAGGAAGGATTAGGTAAATTGAAAATTTACAATGACCTCATCAGGAATCGAACCCATGACCTTTCAGCTTTTAGCATAATACTTCAACCAGCAACAATCATCTATTCCAGTTTATTAAGAATTTGCCACTTAACAACGAACGTCAGTCTGTTGTTTGTTTTGCATTCGTTGCATAGCAGTAGCGTATACAGGCTACAGCATACTGTACCAGTCTGTCACTCAACAGAAGTGTCAGGTGCAACTAACAATATAACAACCATCCACTCATTAGCTTGAAGAAAACACTGTGTTTGCTAAACACAGAATTTTCCAATAGATGCTAAGAAAGTTAAAGTTTGTACTCCATGTATTGGTTAAAGTATAAAAGTCAGCTTCAGTTACATAAACCAGTGATTGAAATTGGCATACATTATTGTAATAACTTAATCTGAAGATAAAGTGCACACCTATTAATCCTTGAAATAGATAATCGTTTATGTAAGAGGTAACAGTTTATAATGGTATATTTTAGCATCCTGTTACACTGATTCATGTTCATGGTTTATGCTGACCATCTTACAGTGTATACACTTTTTCACCTTATTCTTCACTTCCACACTACATGTTTCAGCACTAATCAGCACAGATCCAGCAGTAAAACGCATGCAGTAACAGGAGCAAAACACAACACAGAACACGATACACAAATATATGTAGGAAGAATGCACACATAAAAGAGGATTGGCATAATTTGTGTGTTTGAGTGCGACGTAGGAAGAATGCTGAAAAGTTTTATTATTTAGAATTCATCGTCCTATATGACGAATACAGATTTTAGTCATTTTAGAATGAAGACATTATGGCATGCAGTACAATAGTTTAATGTGCATAAAGACACCTGAAGATGGCACATTAGTGCTGAAACATGTAGTGTGGAAGTGAAGAATAAGGTGAAAAAGTGTGTACACTGTAAGACGGTCAGTATAAACCATAAACGTAACAGTTTATGTAACGAAGGCTTCTCGGGTGATCAGCTGTATCAATGTTGAGTTATTACCCAGTGTTTCAGAGACTGTCTTTTGCCCCTCCCTCCCCCCATCATCGGGATTAATGTGATGTGATGTGTCCTGACAGTGTGCTTATACCACAGAGCTACTTCTGCTGATCCATCCTGAACTGCTGAGTGAGACCATTAGTGGGTCCTTTCCCAGCAGAAGCATTTGGAGAATAAGGGGCAGAGATGGGCATTCAGACATTACAGTCCATATTACTTGTTGTTAGTCCTTCCTTACAGTGGTTTTATGGCTCTCCCTTGTTTTATCGTGTCCGTGTTGCCCAGCCACCAATACATTGACACAGCTGATTGCTTTTCTCAGATGGTTTGATTTCTTCAAATATGCATGTTTACCTTTTGAATAGTTCCTGTAAATAAATGGGAAACTGTGTTAGATACAGAGGTCATCTATTTCTTCCAGTTGAGAATTTATGACATAGAACTGTTTCTGCAGGTAAACACTTTCCAAGTTGTAATAGCAAGTGATGGATCAGACTCGTATGTTGAATTCCTGTATGCTGATGGAGGGATCCAGTGGATTCAAGGAATTGGGCAGTCATCTGGTCTGCCTGATGCTAGAGCACAGGCTGGACTGGTCTCAGGCGATGGCCGGCTCTACACCCTCCGTGGTTCAGGAACTGACCAGATACAAAACCTAGACAAGTATGGAACATTCCACAAAAACAAACATGAGACTAGTTATATAAGATGTCAAGTTCTGTTGGCGGTGAATATTAAGCATATGGTCTTCTGGAATGTGAAGCCATGTGGTTTAGTAGATCAGGGCAGAAGGTTCCTTTGAAGCATTGGTAACCATCTATGAAATTATTTAGGATCATATCCCAGAAGATCACGTCCATGAACTCAGTCCTATGGGACTCTTGCTTCATGTAAGGAGTTGGCTCTGTCTTGCATTAAAGATATTATGTTTCTGGACATTATCCATCATTCTGTTTATATTTATGTTTCCTGTGTTGACACCATACAAGGAGAATTCATCTCTCCAGTGATGACTTATATCTTGATAGTTCTCTGGTACAAGGTCTCATGCTGTAGAGTTTTGTCTTAACTCTCCCAGATGGTTTATGCTGTGCTTAGCTTGTATACTCTATCTGATGTTGGTACAGGTGTCCAGAGATAGGGAAAAGCTCTGTCAATTGGACCCAACTGAGTAGGTTTTACCTGAAGATGGAGACAGAGTTCAGTCTCTGAAACGTTTTGTTTTGAAATAGAAACAGGGCGATGGATAATGTCCAGAAACATAATATCTGTACTAATGTACCATTGTCAGAAACTTTTAGATCTGTCTTTTATACTTACATCAAACTGTAATCAAGATGAAAATTAGTACTAACTAAAAAAGGAGGGCCGCGCCATAGCTCAAGCAGTTAGTTACTGGCTTCTCACTGTGGCAGCCCGGGTTAAATCCCGGGTCTGGTCAAGTGGGATTTGTGGTGGGCAAAGTGGCACTGGGGCAGGTTTTCTCCAAGTACTTCAGTTTTCCCTGCCAATCTCCATTCCACCAATTGCTCCACAATCACCCTCACCTATCATCTGGGGCTGGTACAATAGGCCAGAAGTGGCCGCAGTACAGGGACTTAGTCCCACCCCACTAACAATAAAAAAGGAGGAACTCAACAATCTGGTGCATTAGTACTGAAAAGAGAAGAATACACGATGTGTGTATAAGTAATGAGAAAACTTGCCTAGAGAACAGACTTGCTCATTTTCTGATATGATTTTTGACTCCAGAATTTTTGTCTGTCTGATGACAGAGGATAGTCAGATGATGAGTAAAGTTGAATCACTCATTTCAGAGTTTTGACTAACAACTAGAAAAAACTCATAGCTCTTAAGCCTCCAAAAATTTGTATGTCTGTTTCATATATCCTCCTGTAATGGCCATTGCAGCAGTAAACAGACAGACAGACATGCATGAAAACAAATACAGAGGACAAAAGGTTCATTCTTTCAATGGCATAGGCTTACATTCCATATAAACGGCATTCAGCTTGAGGCAGTTTCACATGGCACTATCAGTGGCAGATATACTTTGCATGAATTCTCTACACAGTGGCCAGTATAAAAGTAGAGTTAGGGTTAGTGATGATTTGGCATATACTTCACTACCAAATATTTTAACAGTTTTACAGTTAGTCATTTGTGCATTCTGATGAAAAGCAATATTCTGCTCTCCACTCAGTCAGTGTTTAACACTTTTTAAAAGAAAACACATCATATTCTGTAGTAGTTTTTTGAAATCATATCCTGTAGCAATAGGCCAGTTAGTGGCTGATGTACCAAGTGGACTCAGTCTCACCCCACCCCAAGAAAAAAAAGCTGTTTTTGCAAAGTTCAGATGGGATTTATTTCTGTCTACTCTTTAAAGAAACTCTTCACACTCTCAGGTCATTCACACGTAAACAAGCGTTTTCATGGATATGAGCACAACAAGGAAGAAGAATACTGTTTTCCTGAAGGATATGCCTTTAGTCTGGTAAAATGTCACTGATATTTCTCAAGAATATAGTGTTGGAATTGCTGTACCTGGCTCACTGAAGTCAGTCGGTCTTGCAGGTACCTTCTTTCACTAGCATCTCAATGAATCCTCATTGATTGTTTGAATTCAAAATGATATTTGATGGATGGCTTCACTTGTGGCCATGTTATGCCTTTTAACATAACAAATTTTGTGCTTTGATTGCCAGTAATATATGAAGTTTGTGGGGTCTATACCAAATTTCAGAGACAAGAATCAAGGTTTGGCTAGCTCTGGTTATACAAGTTGGCAGGGTGATGAAATTGGATACTTATTATGGAGTATCAGGAGAAGTTTGATATGCAAGGCAAAGATGCTGCCTTGGTCATGATAAATAATTACATTTTATTAAACTTTAGTCACATTTAATATTTCAGCTGGCTTCCACAGATTCAACACTTAGCAGTACAAGTATATATAGGGTTCTGATGGTGTATAACACACAGAGATACTGGGTTTTTGGACTTTGTCCATCGTCCAAATTCTAAATAACTAAGAAAAAACACAACGTTTCAGAAACTAGATCTGTTTCCATCGTGAGGTGAGAGACTTGACAGAGTAGGTGTCTTCCCTCACCTGAGGATGGAAACAGATCCACTTTCCAAAACGCTGTGTTTTTTTCTTAGTTATTTAGAATCCGGACGTTGGACAAAGTTCAAAAACCCAGTATCTCTGTGACTTAGCAGTACACTTCATTATACATTGTATATTGATGGTGATATGATAAATGTTCTGATATTCATTCCCATAAATGTTAAGAGTCTGATGAATGAGTATGTGTGAGGGCTTTACACTTACACTCCTTCCTTACTTGGTTTATCCCTTGGTACTGAAGATGGAGGTGGTGTATTCCTGCAAAATGTCAATAAACTTCAACCAGGCTAGATGGTGTAACATCCCAAAGTCATTGTTGTGAGAACCTCATGTAGTGAACCCCACACAATGAACAAAGAGTTTACATGACTATAGAACCACTTAAATTAAACTGTATGTTTTAATTTGTTGCCTGAACACCTTATAACAACTTGTGCAAAAAGGTGTACAGTTTCTTACCTGAACACACTTCAGCAACTCAGCCAAGAACTGCACAGTAATTTTCTATTAACAGCTGATTATGTTTTCAGATGGTCCAATGTTGGTGTTAATGGAGTTTGGGTGTTCCACATTGGACAGACAGGCAGTAGTGGAAATGTCATGCCCCCAGATTTGGAGGTCGGAAGTAGGTGAAGTACTCATATTCCAAAAGCATACAGGTTCTGGCTCTTCCAGTCATGTTTAGGTTTTGTCTACCCAGAACACATGCATATTTGCACATGATAAACATCTAGGTCACTGAAATGTGTTTGTCCAGATTTTTTTTAATATAATTCATTTAGAACTGAGGGGGGGTCATGAAAGGAGGAGTAAGGTAAAATTTATTATGAATTGGACGCTTCATTTCATTTCAGTTCCTTCATCTCAGTTGGTAGGACTGGGAAGGGGATCATCCCCACACAAGGCCACTACCTATGCACTACAACACAAACACAGAATAAACACAGAGACATATAAATGCTTTGAGCGGGATTTGAACCCATTATCCCAATATTAAAGAGGGTGAAAACATTTCATGGCATAGACCCTGCAGCCACTGTGATTGGCCTTCAGCACATAGTGCTTAATTAATGAAGCACAAGGACTGCACATTTTCTCTTTGCCTTTACCATTATGCTGATAGAGCTCTGCATTCACTGGTCACAGGTAGTACTAGTTCTGCTTGCCAACATTATTCTGTCTGTAATTAGCTAAAGGGGTGAGGGGAGAGAGGCAGAATGATGTTGATGTTGAAATTGGTGTTGATGCTTCCTGCTTGATTACCTTTCCTCTAGACATTCCTTTCTCTGGCACCTTGGTCTACACTTGGAAGGAAATCTTAGTTTCCTTGTATTCTGTAGTTCTTTTGACACCATAGTTGCATCATCATCATCATCATCATCATCATCCATCATCATCGTCGTCGTCGTCATCATCATCATCATCATCAACAGTTCAAATTTATATTCTTTATATATTGTCACCTGTATGTGTGACTGTAGACGGGGCTTTGGATTGGATATTGATATTTGATATTTGATATTTATTCAGCATTCCATAAATCCTTACATGGTTGTTTCAAAACACCACGGATATAGATTTGGATTTGTTGACAACTTATAGGTTGTAACCACAAATAATCTATAATCTATCACTAATTCCACACTTTACAAATCACGCTAAGTCTTTTCCAGCATGCAGTGTCTTCACTAGTAGTTTCCTGGTAACAGCATTTAACATGCTTCCATGCTGAGATCATCTTGGAACAGAGGCTCCCTTCCATCTGAACCATTCTTCCTTTACCTGCCCTCATTATAATCCCTTCGCACAGACTGAGTAGGAAACACCATTTCCAATAGTTCCTGTATTGTTGCATATGTATCTGTTGCCATAAGAACATGTTTACCTAGCTGTTCCATAGCAGTGCCATCTATTATTTGAGCAAATATGCCACAATATTTTAACATGCCTCTAATTATGGCACAGGTTGCAGAGCACTGCATGTTAGACAGAAGTCCTTTAATATCCGACTGAAAGACAGATGAACAAATGTTTCTGTGTTTCTGCCATCTTACAGGTGAGGCCACCATAACAGATACATGTTCTGCTGGGGCTACAACCTGTCACAGTAAAGCCAGCTGTGTTGACTACCAAACTGGGGGTTTTTGCTGCATCTGTTTGCGTGGCTACTATGGCAATGGTCTCAACTGCTTGAAAGAAGGTACCCATTTTACTTTTTACAGTATGATCATCTCAGCGTTGCCCAGGTAGAAGAGTTGAATGCTTCTGCTGCCTAGCAGTAACATTCACACCCACAGTGTCTGCAAAGTTGAGAGCCTGTAGGCCAGTAGATTACAGACAGAACCCATATAGGTCACATCAGATGCTGAAATTGCTCTCTGTTGTTTTGTATGCTTTCGTGGTACTTCCATGTGAACATTCTCACCATAAAGTTGAAGGAATTATCAACTTGAGTGATTGAAGAGTTTGCAGCATGCTCTAAGATGATCACACTTTGTAGCAGTGTAGGTACGAAATACTGAATTTCTTTAGTGACTTAGCAACCAATCTTGATGCTCCTTTGAAAAATATTAGATATCATATTTAAGTGTGCATATTCACAAAACATGGATGGGTTAACTGAGTGATGGATTTTATAATAAACTGAATTTGCACAGATCATTTTCACGGTTCTTTTTAATGATCAGTTTGATAAATAAAATGATACCATTAAGTTGTCAGTTTTTTCAGAAGTGGCTCACTGTGTCTTTCCTGGTAAATGTGAGCCTTTTGTCCTACTCATACTTACACAACAGTTGGCCATTCTTAACAGCACCTCCCCTCTTTACCCAATTTCAGTTTAGGGCAATGATCGCTGCATTTGTCCCTGGTTCTCTTGTCATGTCATGGTAGACTGAGGTGTCCAAGTTTTGAGCGTTACTCAAGAAAAGTTGGTATCTCCAACATAACAATTTAATAACAGTAAATAATACCAACAAAAAAATAAATAAATGTAGCACCATAATTACCACAACAAAATAAAATGACAATTTGACCGTGACTCTGCCACATTAGCAAACAATAAAATCATTAGAAATCCTGAAAGTATTTCCATCTTTGCAACTTAATCGAACCAGTAACCGCGACCAGCTCATAAAACCACATAAAAAGTTACAAATCCATAGCAAACCTTGTTGCAACACTTCTGACACGCGCTTTGCAATGAGATGTTCCCTCACTTTAAACGGCCAGTACGAGAATCAAAACAGAAATTAGAATGAGCAACCTAAACAGAATTTCACCACACACTTCACTGACTGCTGGCAATGAAAGGCAAGATTCCAACCTCCGATACCTAGATGAAGCATTGCCATTCAGAGACGACTGGAGATGGGGGGAAATCATGTGGTACATCGGAATGATGGCATAGATGCCTTAGGGGAGGATCCTGGACTGATGAGGCTATCAGGCAGAACATGCCTCAGTTCTTCAGTCCTCATGGTTTGTGCCAGGAATTTGTACTATGGAAACAAAATGGGATCTCTCAAAGAAGTTATTTTGAAATTTTTTGAGATTATGGTCTTCAGGGATGTAAGCGTATGTAGCTAGATAGACACCAAATTGTGTAATCACATCCCAGAAACTGTAATCTCAGCACTCAGCAGCATGAAAACCTGAAATCTCACGGAATGCTTTCCTTGCAGGGATTCCACTAAGAGTGAATGGAAAGATTACAGGCACATTGAATGGCCAGGAATTGTCTCAACAAGACCTGCAGTCTTATGTTATGACTGCTGATGGGCGAACATACACAGCACTGTCACATGTATCCCAAGATATTGGCTATGACATGCAGGCCCTCAATATATTGGGTGGTGTTATTGGATGGTTGTTTGCACGACCTATCAACAAAGCAGTCAATGGCTATGAACTCACAGGTGAGTCTGTAGTAAATGTTGAATAATGAAGACAAAAGATTACTGTCATCTTGGATGTGGCACAGTGTAGTTTGGTGCATAAGTGACGAATTTTTGTAGGAACCAGCTGCCTCCTTCATCTCCCCTGAAGATGGAGGAAGCTGGTTCCTACAAAATGTTGATACTTACCTACAGACTTTTACAGCACAACATCCTAGCTGTGAGAACCTCAAATCTCACAAAGAAGACAAGAATTACAATATCAATAATGATAATGAAAGCAAGCACAGATAATTATAACATTGGTTAATGTTATGTTAATGTATTAGTAAGATGACCATTTGAAATTTAGTGGGGTACCTCTTCATTGCTTGTTTACAGATTAATAGAGTTTGGTTGTGACGTTACATCTTCAGAGCCAATGCAAAAGTGAAACCACAGTAACTCATGCCAGTGTCTGTTCATAACAGTCATCTAGATTGTCACTTAATTCAGATGTCCTCTCCCCACAATTAATCTGGATTAGCAGTGGTTTAGTGTACATGTTTCAATAACCATGTACCATGTCTTACTTATTATTACATAATACTGTGACCTACAGACCCGTTGCTAGGCATAAATCTCGAAATAAACTATGAGACAACAGCTGTTGCTATGCAGTGGCTACATTTTGGAGGAACCTGATTTCTCTAAATTTAAAGCAGAAAAATAGCTCTGCGTGAGGAAAGATTGGTGATAAGAGTAGGGGAAACAAGAACTGTAGCTAAGAGTTAACCAATGGGAGTACGTAGTGTAGCCATCCCCATTGGTTCACAGCAGGTTGCTCCAAAAAGTTGGTAAATATTTATCTGATCATATGGCTTTATATTCCACAAAATGATTGTCTTAGCATAGTTCCTCAATTCAATTCAATTCAATTCAATTTTGTTTCATCCATGAATCATTATACATGATATGGGACAAGTCAAAGATTAATATTAATACTAATACTAAATNTTTCTTAAATTCTCTATATGTCCTATTGTACCTCTACTGGTGGCAATGCCTATGGAGATTTGATGGAATGAGGATTGGCAGGGGAAACCGAAGTACATGATATTAATACCTGCTATAATTATAATTTATACTTACCCTCTACAAATTTATCAAAAGTACAAAAAAGAGTGGTGTTCTCTGGAAGCAAGATTTATAATCACTTACCTTTGAATAGTAAATTGTTATCTAAAGACGTTAAGCAATTAAAATCTTTATTGAGAAGCTATATCACTGAACATGCATTTTATAGCACTGATTAATTTTACAAAACAACTTCCCAATGAATACCTGTACATTATTTGGTTAGTTCATTCGTTCATTTATTTCATTTCTGTTAATCCAGGCTGCTATGAGAACCTCAAATCTCAGGCCTCACATCAGTACAAACTTTCTGTTTATATGGGATGTACTGCCTAACAGAACATGCTTGAGACATAAAGTAAAATTATATAGTGATATTTTCAGTCTCAAATACCATTACAGTAACACTTTTGCTCTGTAATAGTGTAGCATTCATATCTCTGGACAATGGTCAATGATTCTTTAAGATGTTTCCTCTGTCTTCATGTTTTCATAGGTTGGGCACCTGAATGCCTGAAAGAGCTAAAAATTCCAGTATCTTATTTTTTCCTTTTGTTTTATGCACCGTATAGTACAGTTCCATGTTCTCTTCAGCCCGTTCTCTTCGCCCATCCTCTTTACATTGTCTTCCTGCATTTTCCTATATGTAATAACCTTCAGGTGCATGTTAACCTGAAGTTTCTTACATATTGCAGTGTTTCACTTTTGGTGTAATTGTTTTCATGAAGCTGAGGGTCTTAAGATTTCCATTCCTGCCATTTGCAGTCTACTGTTATGTCTTATTACTCAATCTACATGTTTTACTAACATACTGTGTCACTTGGTTTAAGAAGTATTTTGTATGATTACAAGTATGGTACCTACTCCAAAATATTTGTAAAGTATTTAATTTACCTTCCTGTTTTTTATTTTTTAAAACCTATCTCAAATTATTAGAATCCCGAAGTAAATGATGTTCTCAAATTAATAACTTTATGGAATATAGATCTTTAGAAACAAGATACTCGAGATATTTTCCTATTTTTTACAGAGCAACCCAAACGTCCATGCTTAAAAAAGCCTTCTTCTTTTATAATTCAACAAAAATCATAAGTAATTATATTCCTTCAAATAATGAACAGCTCAGTAACGGCTTAACCTTTAAATTACATATATTAACAAAGACAATATGATGACTCATTTCAGGAGGAATTTTCAACCACACAGCTGACATAACATTCCCTCAAACAGGACATAAAGTGACTATTCGTCAGCTTTACTTTGGGCTTGATGTATTTGACCAACTGCGTATGGACGCAGAGATTCGTGGTACTCTCCCCACCATTCCTATTGGCAAGAAAATTCAAATTGGAGACTATGTAGAACAGTACACTCGAACTGCACCCGGTATGTATGCACTCTAAAACATATACTAATGAGAGTCAAATGTGGGAAGTGATCTATTTTACTAGAGTAATATACAGTATAAATCTAAATTATTGTCAGTGTTTCCGTGGCCTATAATTTTCAAACCAGAAACAACAAAATAAAACTGGTTAAGGAATATGAAAGTGTAACTCAATCAAATAAGACATCAGTGTGGCAAATACAGCATTTCCAAATAAAACTTTTTGAGTTGCACTTCATATTCCTTAAGCAGTTTTATTTTGTTGTTTCCAGTTTCAAAATTATAGGCCACAGAAACACCGACAATAATTTAGAATAACGTGTTTAAATAAAGTTGCAAAAGTAAATGTATTGTACTGATAGGCATAAAATATATTCTTCTTTTTGGCTTGTTATTGAAAAGTAATCAATATTTTGGCCCCCAAAAAAAGAACAATGTAAAGAGATTTGTCAGGTCATTTGTTAGTCTGAATATTCCATATATGTGCATGGAATTGAAAGTAAAGAATTTTAACATTTTCAACACCTATTTGTAAAAATATAGTAAACACTGTTCTTAGAAAACTCTGAGTATGTCTTTCATATCTGTCTCATGTATGTTATAATCTGATAATATGTTTTCATGATTATTGCCATTCATGATTTGTGACTTTGAATGCATGATAATGTGGTGAGTAAAGTATTGAACTGTTTTTGTATTCAGTATACAATGGGAAAAGATGAGAGCACAGTGAAGCATTACATCATGTGTTTATAGTTTAAAAAATTGCTTTGACTTGGTATGTACTATATAGTACTGTCATTAAACTGCAGTATGTACATAATCTACTCTAATTAAAATTTGTATTGTGTGTATGGATGTGTGACTATAGATGTGGTCTGGGCTGGTAATTGAATTATTGAACACTTGTAGATTATAACCACAAATAACTATAGTACTATCGATAATTCACACTGCAGTTCAATACACCACGTACTAAGTCTTCTTGACCTGCTGTGTCTTCATCAGTTTTCAGACAGTGGCTTCCAAAGTCTGGATGTTCCCCTTCCTCTGTGTTCCTGAACTATCCCCGTGCCTCAGCCACTGGCTTCTAACAGCAAAAGCTCACAAGGACTGAATTGCATCAGTTCTGTAACTTACTCAGTCACTCACCAACCAACAACATTAACTCTGTCCACTAACTTGTCCTGCTTTTAACATCTCAGCACAGACCACACAGAAAACGTTCTTCCGTTGCATTGCCTTTGTTGCATAAGCAGCCATCAGCACATACTGTGCAAAGTGAACGTCATTCCTCTGTTGCTGTTTATGGGTCGTTACCTAGCAACAGCTGTTGTATAGCTGCTTACTTCATGGACATTGCCTAGCAACTGGTCTACATGCCACATTATGCACAAAACATTTGTTAGATACAAATGTTTAAATATGATATGGAGGTATCTTGGGTGATCAGGCATGTGGAGATGGAGTTAGTATGCATCTCAGAGAGTGTCTCTGTCATTAGCGATTAATATGATCTTTGTGATAGAGTCCACAAAGCATAGCTTGCTAACTCTGTCTTCACATAACTGAACACCTGACCCATTGTAGACAAATGTTTATCATTTCTTTTAACACCTTGATAACTTGGCATTAAATTATAAGATGTTCTTACTATTAATTCTTTTTTATAGTGTCTGTGCAAGCCTAGGTATACAGTTATGCCTACTGAGAGTGGTAAAGAATCGTATTTGTGTGTTTAAAAATGCTTTCACTTCTAGGTCTCATTCTTTCACAGTCATCACTAAATTTCCAACTGGAAGGGAGCCCCATAGACAACCCATTCAATGTAGAACAAGTTATTCGCTACAGTGAATGCTTATACTCCCCAAAGAATGTTTCAACATATCGTCTTAAGGTTGCCAAGAATTTCATCATCTATGAAGCTCGTGAGAAGATCATACGTTATGCCACGACAAACAAGGTCACTCCTCTTGGAGGTAAGGTACAGTTTAGTGCCATATTAATATGGGTGTAATGAATTGTTCACATTAATTGTAATATGATACTAAAATATCTTTATATTTATTACTGCTTTAATCCATTACATAATCTTAATACATGTTTTGAATGATTTTATTGAATAAATGAGACTGCATAACATTAAACAGTTCAGTTTTTATATTAACTTAACCCAGTTCTTTAAACTTTCATAAATCAACCTCCAGACCTCGCATGCAGGCCTGTGGCCTCTTCTGACTTCTGGCCATTTTTTCCAGGCAGCTGATTCATTTGCCTATGTTGTAACACTGGCCCTAAATTCATGTTTCATTGCTTACAGTGACTTTGTATAACTGGTCTTTTCAGTTTTTATTGACACTTCCTTGTAAAAAATATGCTCCTTTTATTGGCATATTGTGATTTCATTCACCATGCACCTGATATTTCACATTGTCTACCAACCTGAAGCATTACCATCTCTCTCTCTCCACTTACTTCATTGCAGATGAAGATCCATGCAGAAGTGGACAGTCGAAGTGTGGTGAGCACAGTTCGTGCCTCGTAGAGGGAGACACTTTCAGATGTGTTTGTAACCCTGGGTGAGTACACACAATAGATCACTAAAGGTCGTGCAAGGGCCAGCAGTAAGTCCCACTTCTTGTGTGTATGTGGGTGAGAGACCCGAAGTGACTTGTAACAGTTTCTCTACTATTATATTGTAGCATCCTGCTACACATCACTTAGCATCAAATGTTGCTGGTGCCACTGTCTCACATACAACACGTCATCATATAAAACTTCCTTAAAGTTATTCCCTTTGAAAGTTTTACACATCACAAAACTTAAAAAGTTCTTCACTACCTGTTTCAATCAATATGTTGATCAGCAGGTGATCAAATTATAGTTGAGGAAACTGTTGTCCTTTTGTTATCACAGATTTGGTTAATAATATATGGTCCCCTGTATGTGCATGTGTATCTGTAACATTTATAAATATTGTCACTTGTAGGGGGTATGCATGATTGATATCATGAGTTCTAGATTTGATTGATTGGATTAATATCGTCTGCAAACAATACCGTTTCTGCACCTTGTACATTTAGTGGGAGATCATTTATATACAGAAGAAACAGTAGTGGTCCCAGAATTGACCCTGTGGGAACATCCCACATTATCATGCATTCGCTCTTCACATCGCTTTTCACCATCACGCGCGCTAACCAATCTGATTGCTTCAAACGTTCATATTTATACTGGGATCGCTCCTGGCCCTCATCTACGTCATTACGCGCGCTAGCCAATCAATTCTTCCTCCTCACTTTCGAGTTTGGCTCTGCCCCACCGACCAGCGTATAAAAAGGAGTGACTCCAGAGCCGAGTTTGATTCAGTTCATCAGTTCAATTCAGTCCGACTGCAGTCTACTATCAAGCCACACAGCAAGCAACTTCAGCCAGCAGGCTTCGTCACCAGCGCTCGGTCTTCGGAGACATCGGCAGGCTGCGCCGGGCATGACTGCCTCGGCTCTCCGGCGCTCTCACACCCGACTCACTGGGGCACCGCGCCTGGACTCGCTGGTGGTCGTGTTACGGTCCGACTCACTGGGCATCTGGCGTAGCCACTGCCTCATGGCTCCTACGACCGCGCTCAACGACTAGCCTTTTCACCAGCCATTCACCGTAACTAGCCTTTCTCCTTACCGGCGCGCGCCGCGCTACCTCACCGGTCAATCATCTCAGCAGCCACGGTCCTTTTCAGGGCCAACACACTGTTCCGAAGAAGTGGGTTGTCATAGGAGTAGTGACAAGACTACACACATTGACAAGAGCCCCACAACCCCTTGTGTTACCGTGTATTGTTTCTCTCAAGGATGATATATACGTATTTTGGATGGTATTTTTATTCAGGTGATTTATTTCAACAAATTGTACTTGGTGAGAGAAATAAGATTTAAACCATAAATTAGTAACCCCTCTGATCCCATAGTAATTTAATTTATCTAGTGATACATTATGGTCTGTCACATCATATGCCTTTGTCAAGTCAAAAAATATTCTTATAATGTGTAACCATCTATCCATCGCCTCCTGTATACACTCAGTGAAGGTCTGGGAAGCTGTTTCTGTCGATTTGTTTTTCCTAAATCCATTTTGCACTTCTGTTAATATGGTATATTTTGTTACAAAGGCTATCAACCTGTTATACACCAATTTTTCTAGTGTTTTGGAGAAAACCTCAGAACTTCTATTGGCCTGTGATTACAAACTTCCTGTCTTTCCCTTTTTTATACAGTGGTCTTAGTTTAGCTATTTTAATCTTATCCGGAAAGACCCCCGATTTTAAAAAGGCATTGAAAATATGTAATAAAGGTTTCTTCATGTAATATGAACGTCTCTTGGCTAAATATTCTGGAATTTCATCAAAGGCTGCAGATGGTTTACCTCTTAGACTTTTTATTACCCTCTCTATTTTCAATTTCGGTAATAGGAACCCAAACATTGTGTTCATTTGATATTGAATCCTCTGTTGTGAGGTTTGTACTGGAGAATAATATTCACTAAAAGATCATCAACACTTTCAATAAAAAAAGGAAATAAAAATGTATTTAATATATGATTTGAATATACTGAGTTACAATTATTATTCCTGATTTCCTATATATATTCCTCATATCTAGTCTGAAATGTTCGGTCCATCTTACCTATGTACTTTAGTAGGCAATTTGCAAAACTCATTTGGTATACACCACTCATTTTGTACCTATCCATTTGTAGGTAGGGTTCTGCTACGTTTTGTATGGTGTTTCTTGTTTGGAATGCCATATTTATTTGTGCTTCTCTTCCACTATATGTAAAAATAGCCCATTTTATTTCTTGGTGTTGCAGATCTGTGTTTTTGTTATGTTTGTGTTGTTATGAATATCTAATGCTTAAGTTTTTATTATATTCATTGTTTTGTAACATGTAAAGTGTAACATAATTATATTATGCAGGACACATTAAATTTTTACGCCTTTGTTTTGTTTGTTTTGTTCTGAATATCTCATGCCATTTTTACAATGTACAAGGTGTGGCAATAAAGAACCCGGATTACTTTTATGACTCATTTCCGGCCACGTCATTGACGAAGAGGAGGGTAGGGCATTGACCCTTGGACTTCCCTCTACCGTCACACAAAGTTTCATTCACGTGCATCGGTTAGTCTGGCCGCGACCATTGTTAGAAGCGGATCGTGTTTCTGAGCTCCGTCGGAATAATGCTGAGTGCTAATGCAGAACAACGTGCTAACATCAAATTCCTCACAAAACTTGGAAAATCTGCCACTGAAACTTACAATTTGTTGACAGAAGTATATGGTGATCAGTGTCTATCTCGCACGCAAGTTTTCGAGTGGTTTAAGAAGTTTATGGAGGGTAGGAAAAACGTCGGGAACGATCCAAAATCGGGCCGTCCTCCCACTGCGAAAACTCCAGAGAATGTGGAGAAGGTCGCTAGAATTGTTCGAAGAGATCGTCGACTGAGCATTCGAGCAATTTCTGAACTTACGAACATCAATAAGGAAAGTGTTAGACAGATTTTGCACGACGATCTGGGCATGAAAAAGGTGTGTGCTAAAGTGGTGCCAAAAATCCTTACCCCCCAGCAAAAGGAACATCGAGTGAATTGCTGTGTTGACACTCTTGAAAACATTGAAAATGATCCTGATTTCTTCCAAAACGTAATTACGTGTGACGAAACTTGGATTCTTCAATATGATCCAGAGACTAAGCGACAATCCATGCATTGGAAGAGCCCCAAATCCCCTAGGAAGAAGAAAGCGCGCATGAGCAAGTCCAAATTCAAAGCAATGATGATTGTTTTTTTCGATATCCGGGGGGTAATCTACATTGATTGGGTGCCTGAAGGTCAGACTGTCAATCAGGTTTATTATAAAAATGTTTTGACGTACCTCCGTGAACGTGTGCGACGAAGGAGACCAGACATGTGGAAGAATGCCTCATGGGTTCTTCATCACGACAACGCGCCAGCACACAACGCGCTATCTGTGAAGAGGTATTTGGCAAAAAACAACATTCCAGTGATGGAACATCCACCGTATTCTCCGGACCTAGCACCGTGCGACTTTTTTCTCTTCCCAAAAATCAAGTCTGCGCTGAAAGGGACCAGGTTCGAGTCCGTGGATGCAGTGAAAGCAAAAGCGACGCAACTCTTGAAGAGCATAACACAAGATGACCTGCAGCACTGCTTCCAACAGTGGAAAATTCGCATGGAGCGGTGTAGGGATCGGGGAGGGGACTACATTGAAGGGGATAACATTTCGACTGTCTGATTTTTTTTTAATAAAGGGTTAGAGCATGAATCCGGTTTCTTTATTGCCACACCTTGTATGTCATGGCTAAACCCTTAAGTGGAAATTACACATTAGATAATCACACAGACTGAAAAACTGAAGGACGTGTATATTTTTTAGTTTAATTGACAATTGGTTAAGAACCAACTCTGTTTTGTTACCGCTCATATATAATAAGATGTGATGTGCAACTTCAGAGGAGTTTTAATATTTGCAGTTTAGCCACTCAGGGCATCTATGAGAAGCAGTGGAATGGAGCACTAAACTGAGAGGAATCTTAAATGGCAGAGTTGGACACTGACATTGTTAACTTGAGGTCATGGAGATTTAACATTGAGTGAAGGAAATTCTTGAATTGAGAAACAGCATGTGGTGGTTAAACTGTAAATTTAATTTTAAATTTAACAAAGAGGTAGAGCCTGACAAGAGACTGTGTTTCTTTGCAGTTACCAATATTTGTATGGAGATAATGAGGATGAAGAGTTGGCTGTGTGTGTGGACATCAATGAATGCAGCACAGGGACTCATGCCTGTGATCTCAATGCCATCTGTGTCAATGAGCCAGGGACCTTTGCTTGCCAGTGCAAAGCAGGATACACTGGAGATGGAAGTCACTGTGAAAGTAAGTGTGAAGGTTGTGCCGGTTCAGAACTTATCTGGTTCTGATTTATCAGTTCGTTTTATTCATTTGAATTGGTTCAGTGAAAATTTAGGAGTTACTTTAACACATGGTAGGTGAAGAGAGGCTTTGTCCTGTGTGATTGGACATAGGAATGCATTGTTGGAAAAGCAGAGATGTAACAGTACCGCAGAAGGAGGCATTCTAATGGGTGGATGACTTTTAAGAGCATTTTAAATTTGACATTTATTGCTAGCCATTAATAAGAGACAGTAAATTGTTACATGTGATAATGTGTGGGATGTAATGGATTATGTATGAGTTGAAGTAGTTATTATCTGAGGTAAAAACTGTTCAGCAATGGAATGTGATTGGTTTACATAAGATTTGTATATCATGACACCTGTTTCAATTAGCCAGTTTTTAGAGGGAGTTTTAGTTCAAATTGTATGACTTACTGAATGTCACAGTGCAGTAGTCACAGCTTCTGTGTACTGTATAGAAAGTCCTATATTCAGTTTCAGGCACAGAGATGGGATATCTTGGCTGAAGTTCTCATGGTCTTTCTCAGTCCCATCTCAACAAATGCTGGAATTGTACCTTCAAGTACACCATGGCTGATCCTTCAACATCCTTCCCATTTCATCATTCTCCCAGTCAGAGCTGTAAACCAATTCTGAAATGTAAAAAAGCTATCCTTGTAACAGCCCAGGAGGCTTGTGAGACATCGGTCCTCCCACATTTTCTAGACAGTCGCCTCTGGTGGCTATGAAGTTGTTGATGGCAGCCCTTTACCCCCAGGAAGATTCCTGGCACTCATTTCTGTCAGAGGCTGAGTCAATCCCACGGCCATAGTCTTGCTGGAAAGATTAGGTCAATTGAAAAGTCCACTGACTTCAATAGAAATTAAACCTGCATCCTTCCTGCTTCTAACATAGTGCTTCAACCAACTATGCTGTAAATTTGGAAATTGCATATCATTTGCCTTCATGTACAGTTAATCCACAAAATTCATTTTAAGTTCCTTCAGAACATAAAATACAATTGTAATTCTGAGACTAGGTTTAGCATATCAGCATTGAGAATTAAAGCAGCTGCCTGGGGAACACGATTTTATTGATGGAACATTTTACAGAGCCTTCCCTTTGTACTCTTTTGTTTTTTAATGAAAATAAATTTATCTTGCTCTTGTTTCTTTCCATGCTGTGGCCATTCTTATACTGGTCTAAACATGTTATGGAAAAATGCAAACTAAACTTGATAATTCTGACACCAGTGAGAGATTTTATCATACTGCATGGAAATTAAATGTTATTTTGAGACTGAATGCTGTTAAGTGCTGGAGGCAACAGGATTTCTCTTCACCTAGGGTGACATTTAGGCTTAAGTGAAATCAGAGAACACTTTATGTACCATTGATTGGTAGATTGCAGATATGAACTTGATTCTTCACAGAGCTACCGAGGTGTGAAGATTTGGGCTGTCACCCTAATGCTGAATGTATTGAGAGATATCCAGGGAGCCTTCAGTGCCAGTGCCTGGCAGGATATTCAGGAAATGGATATCACTGTACCCCATCCATTGCTCGAGGTGTGTATAGCTTCTCTTAGAAAGCTTGAAGATTTTATAGCAACTAAAAGTGATAAATTATTCTCAGGTGATCAACCAAATCAGTTCAGAGTCCACTCTGATTAATGAAGCTTGTCAGTCAAGAAGATTTTATTACATAATTTGACTTGCTCCACACCTAAATACATTCAAATAGCACATTCTTTCCCACAGGTACATTCATGAGACCTCTCTGAAATATATGATAAAATAATTGATGGATAAACACGGAAAGCATTCTACAATTTTTCATGTCTTTGGTTTTATTCTCAAAACTTAGCTGCTTTAACAGGTGCCATCAAATATCGCAATGAAAAATCTTGCTCATGTAATTTTGTCAGGTGTCAGTTCTTTTGAAGGGTGAGGCTGTTTTTTTATTTTGTCAGCAGTTACACTGTATACTGTCAGTTGCCGGGATAGAGTTAATTGATGAATTGGAAAAGTAATCATAGCGTAGGCCTTGCCATAGCTCAGGTGGTTAGTTGCTGGCTTCCCACCGTGGCAGCCCGTGCTCGAGCCCTGGTCAGGTCTGTGGGATTTGTGGGGGATAAAGTGACACTGGGGTAGTTTTTCTCTGTCAATTCACATTCCACCAGTTGCTCCACAATCATCATCATCTATCATCTCGGTCTGGTACAAGAAGCCAAACAGTGGCTGCGGTACCGAATGGGCTAGATCTCATCCCATGAATAAACAATGAAAAAATAATCATAACGTAATTGAGATAGCATCATAGAGAGACTGAGAAAAATGACAAGACATTTCGGGTAGTCCTAGCCAAGGTCTGATCCAAGCACTTGCTGTTAATGAGAATGAGGGCTATCTCTTTGCCACCCTACTCACTGTCATGGTTTGAAATAATGAAATGTTGAGTTAGTAGAACTCTCATTTTCTTGATAGAAGGAAGACTGAAGGAGAGCATTTTCTGTCTAATCTACTGCTAAATCACCAGAGGCTCTTCTCCTGCCTCAAATGAGAATCCATGTTGCAAGCACTTGAAGACTAAATTTATTTCCTAGGAGCTAAGAATGAACAGCTAGCATGTTTAAGAGTTCTATCATCTGGAATATAATGCTTTACAGTCCCTGTCACAAGGCAGGTGGCTGGAATGTCCCTGCCTCTATTACTCCAAGGGGGCTTTTCCTTCCTACTTTGAAGGGCTTGAGTGCTGCTGTTGTGGAGAGGCAGTCAAATTTCTCAGGCTCTGCTGAGGGTCCACTGAGGGCAAGACAGTACAAGGTCTCTTGATGGGGCGAATAACCTGATATCTCGGTTGCAGGTGTAACAGGGTGCAGCTACAGTGCTTTAGAGGGGATTCGCTTCCTGCTTTGTAGGGCTCAGGTGCTGGGTTGTCTGCTCTCATGGATAGGCAAGGGGCCTAATGAGAGTGCATTGTGGCCAAGGCTGTAAGAGGTCTCTTAGTAGGGTGATTAACCTATCAAGAAGAAGAATTGGACTGTATAATGAAGAAGTGAGCCAGTTGAGCAGGCTCTTCTCTAAAGCACTAAGGCCTTTGCTGGAACTCATATATGGGTCCAGCTGGGGCCACCCATGTCAGTCCAGCTGTCCCTGTCAGTGAATGACAGTGACTATAGATGCCCTGCTGCCAGTAGTCCAAGAGAACATATTTCTCTGATACTGTCCCACAAGTAGTGTTATGGACATGAAGATCTTGCATTTGCATTAGTCATAAAGAATAATCTTTCAACATTGATTCATAGATATCATTAAATGTAGGGTGCACCTTGATTTCAGAAATTTTAAAATGTGGAAAACAGCGTGTCTTAAAATGTAAGAAATATGGTAATTTAAATAAATGCTTTAAAGTTTAACAGATCAGAAGCCAACATTTTTATTTCTTGAGGTAGATGATTAAAGGCTTTAATGCGTAATACATATACACCTTTCCTGTATTTTGATAGGTTGACAGTAGGTAAGTGTAAAGATTATTTAGGGATCTAGTTTTATATTTGTGAATCTCATTCACAGAATTGAAAAGACGTTTATTATTAATTGCAAATAAAATTAATGAGTATATGAACGGAGAATAAAACATCATTATCTCCAGGTTCTTTAATAAATCCCTACAAGACTCACTTGGTCCAGAATTCATAATAATTCTAATAGCCCTCTTTTGCAGTATAAAAACATTGTTGGCTCAGGAAGCGCCTCCCCAGAAAATTATACTGTAGCTCAAGATAGAATGAATGTGGGCAAAATGAATTAACTTTATAGATACAGATACAGATACAGATACTCTCCCTCAGTAGTGTACATGATACTCAGTATGTGTTTTCAGTGTGGTAGGTTTTCTGGACTGATCTTAGAAGGTTGTGGCTGGATGGAAAGACAAAGACAGAGGTGAAGATTGAAGTCTTCTGAGTTGTGGTGCTTTGTTGTCTTGTAGGCAGATACTGACATTTCCTAAGAATATACTGTCTCCATATCTTCAGGGTCAAAGCATCACACATCAGTCCTCAAGATTTTGGCAGCACACCCTTCTGATGATATCAGTATCAGTTTACAGCACTATATGTTGGAAAAATCCAGCAGTCACCAGTGTGAATTCCTCAGAACTGATTTTCTGATGTGCAGTTCTTCTGTTTACAGAAACATGTGACACAGCTAATGATTGCTCTCCGTATGGGGTGTGCACCTTCAGTGATGCAGTGAATCATCACATTTGCGTTTGTCTGCCCGGCTACACTGGCGATGGCTATAACTGCTCCGATACGTCACTGTACAATGAAACACGTGATGGAATTTCACCAGCTCCTGTCTGTTTATTTAGAGTCTGTTGGTGTCCATCTGGGTACGAGCTTCAGGACAATACCTGTGTGGGAAAGGAAGAAGAGCCAGCTGAAGAAGCCACAGATAGAGACATACAATGTAATTACAATATTCACAATTCATCTTAAGCTTCTTCAGTGCTGCAACATTTCACTTACTGCAAGTGGCACAAGTCATGTATTGAGGCTGGACAGGCTGGTAAATAGGATCTAAGAGCCTGTGATGATGATATATTAATACAACTAGCGACTAGCTCTATCACTTGGGCTCAACTGAATGGGTTCCAGCTGAAGACAGAAGCAAAATCCAGTCTCTGAGACTTTATGTGCTCTAAATAAAAACAGGAGTATGGATAATGTTCAGAAACACAGTAGTTGACTGGTAAATGTTAGTATTTTGTATAAATTTCCATTAACAATTCCATGTTGCAGATGTTTATAAAAATTCTAATGTCTTATTCTTTTTTCATCTGAAGTTTCAACTTTCTTTTGTGTATTGTAACATCATCAGTCAAGTGCAGTAAAATACCACCTCTTGCCATTTTGCATTCCACAAGAACTAAGTGGGGAGGAATATAAATGAGTGGCACATGGCAGATGGCTGATGTCAGATGTATTACATAGGACAGGTAGCTAGGAAGGCCCTTCCAGAATATGTCAGAAGTGACATGCAAGGGAAAGTCTCAAGTGTGGAATATGTTGTATATGAGGGGCAGTCAAATGAAAATGGGTCAGAGGCAAAAACACATTAAAGAACATTTCTTAGCTCAAAAATAATCTTCAGTGTTACCAACTTGTGCGCCATGTGAGTTATGCGTGGTGACCTGTTTTCATTTGACTGCCCTATATACAACAGACTGGCAGGAAATTGCTCTTGGAATATGCTGGCAATGACATCCTCTGCTTCACCCTGAAGAGCTTCAAAGGCCAGACCCAAATTGTACTCGTATGGTTAATGTTCCAGTGTCATGCAACATTGTAAACACCTGCCATCCTCACGCACAGTGCGTGTACATCCCACCAAGAGGGCAGTATCAGTGCCAGTGTAATGCGGGATACGAAGGTGATGGTTATGAATGTGCAGAAATTGGTAAGCTTTCAATCTGCTCTCCTTTGTTAAATACAGCGTATGAGATCACCATCAGTGTGCATTGCCTCTTCACGCTCTTGAACCAGTTGACTGATTTTCATGATATTTTGTACACACATCATACCATTCATGGTCACTCCAACTTCAATGTCATCAAGATTACTGTCTTCTGGGGTGTGATACTGTGTAGTCTGGCAGAAGTTCACCAACATCTGGAGGAACATGCTGCCTCCAGCTTCAGCACTGAAGAGTGACTAAGTGACTAACCAGTAAGAAATAGGTGGCATCCAGAGTATGCTTGGTGTCTGCTCCTTGCTGGTTACTTTTGCTTCACATACTCTTTGGCCCTTAGGAAGGAGGCATTACACTGCTCCAAAATACTTCTGAACTTCTCAGAATTACTGGGTTTTTGGACTTTATCAATTGTCTGGTATTCTGGAAACTAGAAAACGCAATGTTTTGGAAACTAGATCTGTTTCCATCTTCAGGTGAGGGACGAGACACTACTCTGTTGAGTCCCTTAGAAAGACCTAACCACAGTCACGGTTAGCTCTTTCTAGGGGACCCAATAGAATAGGTGTTTCCCCTCTTTACCTGAGTATGGAAACATATCCAGTTTCTGAAATGTTGTGCTTCCTAGCTTCTAGAATACCAGACAATGGACAAAGTCCCAAAACCCAGTAATTATGAGTGTTATACACCAATACATCATTGTCAGAACTCTTTAGAATCTGTTGGTGAACTTCTGCTGAACTACCATCAATCATCCCAGAAAACATTTATCTTCATGGTCACTGGTGTAAGAACCTCATATCCAATGTCCTAACTTTCTGCAATTATTGAAGATATAATGGCACCGGTAGTACTCAATATAGGATCCTGAAATTATGTTTAGTAATAAGTGTTTGGAAAGTATGAAACTATTGTTAGGTAATTTTTTTAATATTATAAAGGAACATGACAATCGTGCAAAAATTTTTATGAGGCAATAACTAAGGGGCAACTGGGATTAGAAACATGAAATTATTTTTGAAGGTACAGCAGAAATATGTCATTAAAGAAACAGAGTATGACTTGGCTTATATCCTATCCACATGGATTTAGAAAGAATTTCTCTAATGCTGTGGTGTTCATGTAAATGGCTCATATGACAGAGAGAGTCCAGAAGAATAGTCTTAGTTATTGTGCCACACTCTCCTGAGTTACAAAGTTCAGGGTAGGCCTGTCTAGAGTTTGGAACAAATTATTCGAAGTGCCAAACTGTTCACATACTGTAATCTGTTATTGTTGTACAGATGTCTCCTGCTTACAAGTTGACATTTGTGATATTCATGCTACTTGCACATATAACGAAGCAAGAGGCAAAGCAATATGCATATGCAACCCAGGATACCAGGGTGATGGAATTCTCTGCACTGCAACAGGTATATATATATATATCCCATTCACTTTGTTACAAATTGAGTGGGTGAACGTGGGTTACAAAAGGTAAAAGGCTCTTGAGTTCTGACCCTCAGAATTATGTCTTCCTTGTTTTTGTAGTCCCTACTAAATATCCTTACTTCCTAATAATTTTTCTTTCATCATTTTATAAGTAAAAGCCAGTTTGATGTGTATTTTTGCCCACAGAAAATGCAGACTTTAAAGTATTGTGGCACTCACTCATTCACCTCCATCTTTAATGCAACTTAAACTATTCACAGTCTCTCTTTATTAAAATAACATTAAAATAACATCAATTGCTACATGTTTGAGCCCTACTTGGACATCTTCAGGCAATTATTCACATTTTTGAAACCATTACACTGCACTGCTGCTGCATATCATTGTTCGTTCTAAAATGTGTTTGTTTGAGAATAAAACCCTCTGAGAATAAAACTCACTCCATTCTGTATAATTTTCCTTTTGTGGCAGTTTTCATGTTTGTGCCTCTTTTGGATGTACAGTAAAGTCTCGGTAATCCTGCTGTGTGCTAGTCTGACATACGTGTATCCAGCAACCTGGCATCATGCACCAGACAGGCATCCACAACCATGTGCAAGTTTCTACAGACAGCAGAGGCCGACTTACATTCCATCAAGCGTGACAGACTGATTCGTTTAGACCCTTGCTAGTGCACGGTGTTTCAGTTCTTCAGTACTAAACATCCTGTACAGTACTTTTCATACAATGTTGGATTTAATGTGTGCTGAAGATGTCCAGTTCTGACAAACTTAAATATAAAAGTTAACTTTAAGTGCAAACTTGTTAATTTGGCTAAAGAGTATGATGTTGGACATGCTGTAATATATGATATCAGGAAAAATAGAAGATTGAGTGTTTTGTGAAAAGTTCTAGAAGAGGCATTTAGAAGCAAAAGATAGAAAAATATTGACGTTCCCTTGTAAACATGCAGTGAAATGAAGCCCAAAATATTGAATTAATGGACAAAAATTCAGAGTGCACATTTATATATGTAAAATAAATTATAATAAATTCTGTTAAACGATTATCAATTCTGAAACTTCTGTGTTGTGCAGTACAACTTAATAAATTTGTTCCCAATTTTACCAGTAATCTGTTGTTATCGGTAATCCAACGGTACCTTGGTCCCATATATGTTGGATTACCAAGATTCTACTGTATGTTCTCACTAGTTGGGTGTATGTCCATTGTATCTTGCATTAAAAGCAAAGGTAAATAAGTGAGTGAAATGTCAATGCAACAGGATGCTGAAATGTAATATTAAAGTGCTGTGGTCTTGTACACAGTGGAGCCCCATTTGAGTTTCCTTGCTTCAAGGCTTTCCTCATTTAATATTCAGCTTTACTGATCCCAAGCCAATAATCTTAACATTAAACACCTCCATTTAAAATATTTCTCAATTTACTGTTCAAATCCACTGCTTCTGAAAACACCTGGCATGGGTTTTTACCCAGTGTGTTCAACAGTTATTCTAAGTGCCTAACATAGGGCGTTACTTATCACATGGCTTGATACATTGTTCAGAAACACATGCACAGATTTTTTATCCTATGTTTAAATAATAGTTCTAAAGGCTTTAAATGATAGAGACCTAATTTGTTTATTTTAAAGAAGAGTGAGGGAGGGAATGAGGGGGAAATGGACAAATAAAAGGGATGGTAAAGCACTCTGATAGAAATAAAGAAAGGCAGTAAGGGTACAAATGGATACAGGAAAGAGAGAGAATACAAGAAAAAGGTAATTTTTCCCAAGAGACTGAACTTGTACATGACCAGATGATCAGATGCCTGGAGATTCCTTTGTGGTTATTCTAGTCCATCCACGAAAATGCTGAGAAAATACCACATGTTATATCATGGCCATTTTACTTCATATACAGTACAGTACAGTACAATACAACACAATACAATACAATACAATACAATACAATACATCTCCGACCACCACGATAATGTTACTGTTTATCATTGATAGTAAATTACATTTGTAATTGATACAGTTCATGTGTGAATTCTATATCCATAAAAGCCAGTGTATGTATGTTTGCCTGGGACATGCAAGTGCTGATTGATCACTGAAATCCTATGTAGGCATGTATTATTACAGTTACACGTTTTTGTTAGTGTTCAGAATTTCATGTTGTAAGTAAAATGTATGTACTCTATAAACAATAACGATATATATATATATATATATATTGTGACATGTTGCGCAACGGAGAACCCCTCCCTACCCAGCAGCAACGTGGCAACTCAGGCCACAGTGACGTGGTGGATGAGTCAGCGCTCCCCTCCCCCCCTCCTCCGCACGGTAACGTTACGCGCAACGCGCGGTGACGTAAGACGGCGCGAGGTAACAGTGTTGCTAGGCTATATGCAAACACGGTGATGCGGCACTGCTTCCTACTGTGACGTGGCATGCAACAGGCAACAGCGAACAGAATAAAAGCCGGCTGAGCAGCAAGCGAGAGTTAGTCTGTGATCACCAGTTCTCAAGGCAGCTACCTATGAGTTAGTTCCGAGAGAGTTCTGAGTTAGCCAGCAACCAGTCAGTTGTATTCTGGCATTTGCAGTGTAGTATTTGTGATACTGCCGATGGCAGTAATTGTCAGATTGTAATTTGGGTTATTGTAAGCGTGAATGTGAAATAAAATTTGCTATATCAAATATGGCGTGAAGTTATTTGTCGCGTTATACACCCAACACATGACAATATGTATACTTTATGTGACAAAAAGATTTTCTTTGAATTTTCAGTGGCCACTATACCAGCATTATGTAATCATTTCTTCATTTATAGGATTTTTATGCAAAATATTGTCAATTATTATCTGATATTTATAAATATCTAAGCCATATATGACATGTGAGCTGAATTATCTTGTCAAGTTTTGTGTTCATTGGTCTCAGGTCCTATTGCAGACTCAGTAAAACACAACTTTTTTTAAATTAATTGCTGCCGTGCTGTTCAGTTGCATTGTTTTCAACAGATGAATGTTCCTCACCTGAGGATTGTGGCAGCAACGCACGGTGTGTCTGGAGCAACGTACATGAGCATTATGAATGTGTTTGTAATCCTGGTTACAGCAGAGAAGGTCCTGTTTGTGTGACTCTGAAAGGTCTGTAAGTAAACGTATGTAGGTGTGTACTATGGCCACAATTTCCAAAACAATGATTTATTACCATCTTTCTTGAAAGAATTTATAAAAGGCAAGAAAGCTAGTATCCCCTGTTCTGTGATGAGTCTAAAATAATCAGATGCAATTTACTTTCTGATGGAGAGGGTTCCCAACTAGCTAAACATACAGTGAACTTACATAACCTGTGCTAACCATTTTTTGTATTTTTTACACTTAATACATTGTGATGTATTGATTTATGACACCATGTAGTCTAATACATAGTTGCCAATATTTTGGAGAAATCTTTCCCCTTCTGCACCAACCCTGAAAGAAATTAAATGTGAAATGACACTGATGCAGTATATTAATCGATTCATAGCATGCCACATTGCGAATACATACATGAAACAGTATTGCGAGTGCTAAATATAACTTGTACTGCCCAGACAGAGACATATAATGCAGTGAAGAGTAGCAACCTGTTTTCTGTTAGGAAAGAAATATTAACAGTGGATATAAGATTTGAAATTTTCATGACAGTGACTGTTCAGAGTGTAATTGTAGGCTGTGACCCTCTGTAGTCTTGTAGATGGATACCTGCAACCACAATCTAATGGTGTCCAGTGATCATGACTGGATCATTCTAATGGTCAGAACTGATTAATATCCTTATACCAGATGGTGGAAACTGATCCATTTTCCAAAAGTATTTAAAAAAGTCAAAGATAATGAATGCTGTTTGAAATAATGTGCTTGTTTATTGCTAGTACCTCTTATCTTGTCTATATATGTAACTGATGGGCTTGTCAAAGGAAGTGATGGGCAGAATTTGTTGTTTGAAACCAATGTACTGCTGTAGATAGCTGATACATACCTTTTCCTGCTTTTGTGCAGGTTCAGACTGCAGCATTGTTAATGACTGTGATTCGAAGGCCGAGTGCCTGCTTGATCGTGCAATGGAAGAGTATCATTGTAGGTGCAATGCTGGTTTCTCGGGAGATGGGAAGACATGTATTGCAGATCCAATTGGCTGTAATGTTATCAACAACTGCCACATTGCTGCAGACTGCGTCTATGATCAAGGTGCAGCAGGATATCGTTGCAGGTGTAGAAAGGTAAGGGCAGGCCTGCATCAGGTTGTATAAATATATATTTTTATCAAGAGAACATCTAGGCACTTCCTGTCATTTTCACATTTCTGTGTTACAAAGATCAAAATATTGTAACATGTAGACCCATTGCCAAGTAAAAGCTGTGTAAACAGGTGACAGTATGACAAGCATTGCTAGAGAACAGCTCTGTGGACATGTTGTTTCCCCATAAATGAGAAATCATGCAGTAACGGAATAGATGTTTTCTGTGAGGTCTGTGCCAGTCTATGTAATGAGGACTAGTAGTTAAGTAGTTGTTGAGAATGTGTGATGTCTTCCTTTCTATAGCCATTATTTAGTGTTATATTAATAATAGTATTTAATTCTTTGTTTTTAGCATTTTCCTCAAGGAGCAGTGTAAGAAGTCTGTGTATCCAATTTTTATATGCTGGCAATTTTTGTTTTTTAGGGTGGCATGATTTATTATTTATTGTTATGTCTGTCATTGTGGGTTTTCTGTATATTTCCATTTCTATTTGTCTGTGTCCATTAAATATATTTAAGTCCAAGTAAGCTAAATTTTTAAACACTTTAAAAGTTTTAATACCAGGAAGGCTGCTGTGATTGTGAAAAGTTGAATATTGTATACATTGTGTATTCCAGGCATTATGTGTGTATGTCATTTAGCAATCAGAACACCTATTGTGATGGTGGTTTCTCTCTCTCTCTCTCTCTCTCTCTCTCAAGTCTCAATTCTGAGACAGTAAAATATGGTCGCGAGTCCCAAGGGACTCAGACCTGACAAAGACTGCGCTGGCAAGAGCCAGCAGCATATACAAAAGACAGACCCGTCCTCTCGTCAGAGAAGGCACCCCACAGAAACAAGACTGTAACTGTCAAACGATAATAATTAATATCTGGTCATGAGCCCCAAATGTAGCTCGACACCAAGACTTACTGACTGACTGACCGTCAGTCGCAATGTAACTCTGACTCTGACTCTGACTCTGACTCTGAGTAGTTGTTGAGTCAGTTGAGAGTTACACCTGTTAGAAGTGAGCAGCTGGTAGCTGAGGCTAGGGACAGCTGGGGAATCCAGAGGAAGGGGAATGTCTGCCATTGGAAACCACTACCAAGCAACAGCTAGTGAAGATTGAAAAGGCTTCATGTGTGCTGTAGTTACACTGATCTTCTTAATGTGTAACTCAGACTGTCATAGTTATTTGTAGTACCACTTGTTTCAAATTTCAGTAAATCTAATTACTAATCCAAACCCCATCTATAGTCACTTGATCATGTGACATTTATTAGAAGACAAATAGGTTCTGAATAACCTACATCTCTTGAGACATTTGTGTTTAGTTCCTCTCCTTTCTTAAATAAAGAAGGTGGGCTTCTGAGATCACTGTATGCCTCACATTTGTCTGTGTGGCCCCCCTTCCAACTTTTCAACCAGATGATCAATTTTCACAAAACTTGATATGAAAGTTATGCCATTGCAAGCCACCTCAGCATCATACTTTTAATTTCATGCAGTTTGTAGTAACAGTGTGACTGATATGCAGGGACAACATTAGCACCACTCACTTTAGTGTCCTGAAGTTGTGTATGGTCATAAACCTCACTGCTTTGATTTAGAAAATATTAAAAGAGAAGTCCATGATTTATTTAAACCGTCTTGTAGTGCATACACTCATTTATCTCCTTCTCTCCCTCGCACTACATGTTTTGGCATAATAATGCCATCTTCAGGTGCTTACCATGTATTGGTATACGCTTCTAGTATGACTACTATTACTAATGTAAGCACCTGAAGATGGCATTATTATGCCGAAACATGAAGTGCAAGGGAGAGAAGGAGATAAATGAGTGTATGCAATACAAGACGGTTTAAATAAATCATGGACTTAAATCAGTGCAACAGGACGCTAAAATATAACATTATTAAAAGAGAAAACAACCTGTGTTATTTAAATCTCAAAAATGGAAGTTACACAATATAGCTATAATATTGATGAAAATAACTTTATTTTTCAATATAAACCCAGTCTCTCTCATGGGTTTTCTTCCAGCATTGTGCCAAAGTGTGTGTTCACACTCTGTATGCTTGACTACTGTCATCATATTGATGTTCCTACATGTCATCTTCACTTTGTCCAGTAATCTGCCAGAAAGCTGAACATTGCAGTCCATCCAAATGGTTGACATGTCCTCAATATTGCTCATACAGAGCCTGATATTGTCACAGAGGGACAGTTTCATTCTTTGTGTGTTCACATTGAAATCTGAGTTCTCCATGATCTCTGGAAGCAAGAAGTTGACAAGAATCGCACCATAATTATCCCAAAATGAATGTGGCCATGGTTTTTCCTGGTTGCAATGCACCACTGAATTCCTTTTGGAATGGAGAATTTGTACAGTGTTATGCCATTTATTGTCCCTTGAACTGAGGTTCTGGATGGTGAACAATGAAAAATGTTACAAACTTTGTTGCACATTTTTCCAAGATCTATTGCATATGCTTTTCAAATGGAAGCATTGTTACACCCACCTGATTACTGGTATTAGGAAATTGAAAAATACATAATTTGGATGGCTTCCAATGGCATGAGATTCATACTAAATTTTATGAAAACCAATAGTTTGTTCAAAAGTTGAGATGGGTTACACAAACTTTCCTACACAGACAACACTGAGAATTTATGAGCCTACTTTATTTCCTGAAGAAGGAAATATAGACTAAATAATGGGATTTATCACCAATTCATCTGTTATGTTATTTGGGTGAGGATCAGCTTGATCCATACACAATATGCAGAAACATGTTGGATGGGTAGATGGACCTCGAGAATTTTACACATTATAGACTGTTATAATTCCACGTGGTAATATTTATTTTATTATATTCTGCAGGGCTATAATGGAAATGGACTGCAATGCACACCAGAGTTTTCCTGTCAGCAAGATCCAAATTTATGCGGGGCTGATGCTAGTTGTGTTCCCACAACTTCAGGCCAGTATGAATGCCAGTGTAATGAAGGTTTCACAGGAAATGGAATTGTGTGTAAAGGCATGTATCTGTACAGTATAATAATAATATTTTTTTAATAATTTATTCTTATATTCAAGTAGATCCAATTACAGGGCAAGAAACAAGTTGTCACACCACTGGATATAGAATATGTCAAAAATCAAAACAGATGTTCCAACCAATCACTGGAACAAGTCAAAATAACATAATACAAAACACAGACAACGCAGTCACTAAACATAATAAAATGTGACTACAACAAGACTTAAATACTAGATGAAAACATATTAACCTTTTATTTTATAAAATTCATCCAGTTTATAAAAACAATGCATATGAATGGATATTCTCAATAAACAACACAATATCAAATAATGTATGTTACATCACTCACACATAAAAAGAAAAGCTATAAAAACATCTAACATGCATGAACAATAAATGGAATAAATAACTTCTCTCAAGTGTACTAAAAATTATTATGGTAATAAATACATTCATAAATAAATAAATCAATTCATAAAACAACAAGAGATTGTATGTTAAAATAAATAAAAATCATAGTTGGTATGAATGCAGATCTAAAATAGATGATTATTATGTATATATTTTTAGTTAGTTAATAGGACTTGTTAAGGTTAATTTTAGATACTATTTATAAGAACCAAGATCACCCCTTGTGTTCCATTCATAATATTCTGTGGGAACATCCCACATTATCACGCATTTCTGCAACGCTCGCTCTTCACATCACTTTTCACCATCACGCGTGCTAACCAATCAGATTGCTTCAAACGTTCGCATTTATACTGCGCTTGCTGCTAGCCCGCATCTACACCATTACACACGCTAGCCAATCAATTCTTCCTCCTCAATTTGAAGTTTCGCTCCGCCCACCGAGCAGTGTATAAAAAGGGGCAGCTCCAACGCCGAGTCATTCAGTTGATCATCAGTCTACGATCAAGCCACAGCAAGCAACATCAGCCAGCAGGCTTCGTCGCCAGCGCTCGGTCTTCTGAGGCATCGGCAGGCTGCGCCAGGCACGACTACCTCGGCCCTCCGGCTCTCTCACACCCGACTCACTGGGGCACCGCGCCTGGACTCTCCGGTGGTCGTGTTACTGTCCGACTCACTGGGCATCTGGCGTAGCCACTGCCTCATAACTCCTGCGACCGCGCTCAACAACTAGCCTTTCACCAGCAGCCGCCGCGCTGTGATCAAGCAACCTCCAACTCACGCTGCCGCATGGCAACAAAGCAACCTCCAGCCACGGCCGCACTGCGGCCAGGCCACTCACCGCAACTAGCCTCTCTCCTTACCGGCGCGCGCCGCGCTACCTCTCCGATCAAGCATCTCAGCAACCACGGTCCTTTTCAGGACCAGCAAACTGTTCCGAAGAAGTGGGTTGTCATCGGAGTAATGAGAAAACTACATAAGATCCCCACAATTCATTTAAGGAATAAAATGAACCAGCAAGAAGAAATGCTTTTAGAGTCTGTTTGAATTTAGTAATATCATTTAATAGATTCCTGATGCCTTGTGGTAGATTATTGAATATCCTAATTCCTGAATAATATACACCCTTCTGCACTTTAGCTAATTTATTACTTGGAAAATGTAAGTCAAAACCGTGTCTGGTGTTAATGCTGTGTATAGCAGAATTAAATTTAAATATATCTAAATTCTTAACAACAAAAATTGATGAACAGGTGAACAAGATATGAACAGGGAGGATGGCTTCTACCTAAGTGAGTCATCATCTCCCTGAAAGATGGTAGAGAGCCTCCCTCACAGGATTTTCTAGATGGGTTATCTATTGAGACAGGCATGGGCACACTGCCCTTATTGGGGTACTGACTCTGTGCTCTCCTAGCACCCATCAATTTTGAGCTCTTCTTTACTTTTCTGGCCCACACTATATATCAGCAATTGCACATATATGACTTCTCTACCTTCCTACTCAGTTCTCTGTCCACCACACACATTTATGGTTTTCACCTGTGTTCCAGTGCCTGCACAAATGACCCTTTTCAGGGTGCAGCCTTGTAACACTTCTCTTGTCCCTGTTTGTTCACTCTCTTTCTCAGAGTGAGCAAACAGGAACTGATCAGTTGCATTGAAAGTTGCTTCCTATTTTGTATAATTCTGCATGTTTCTGCCTGTGGCTTGCTGCTTACTTCATGCTGGCTTCTTGCTTGGCTTACTCTTTGACCCTGAAAATGGAGATCATATGTTCCTCTGAAATGTTCGTTGACTTCAGTGGCTAGATCTGAGAACACAGAACTCTTCATAATCACTGCTGTGAGGAACTTGAAATGAAATTGTATTATTCTTGCTTGATTTCAGCAATACCAAAATATGAAGGAAATTTCCTACTACTGAATCAAGGCATGGCAACATTGCGGATACCGTACAACCCCACATCAAGCAATCCAGGCCAACCAATTGCAATTCAGTATTTTCAGATGGCAATAGGTATGTTGCAACCATAATACAACTGTTTTCATAAGAGAAACTGGAGCCTTTCTTTCCAGGACAGTGTGTTGAATGCGAAGTGTTTTGTATAAGTGTGTTGGAATTCAGTGCAGTCTAATGTAGGTATAGTCAGTTTTACACATTTTTATGCCTCACAAAATTCTGTGCTTTACCCACATAAATTTGTAGTAGCATTAGTAAGTGCCAATATTGCGCTAGGATCGACTGAGCCTCTAACAGAAATGAGTACCAGAAATCTTCCTGGGGGCAAAGTGTGGCTGGCGCATAAGCCTGAAAATTTAGATGAATAATTGAATAAATTACTTTGTACAAAATTAATCTCATTACATACCTCGTAGAGCTGTCTAAAATGTTTATATGTTGTGCTTTTAGGAATTGATGTAGACTGTCTGGAGGGGCGAGTCTACTGGAGTGACATTGCTGGTCAGAGTATAAAGAGCTCAGAATATGATGGAACTGATATACAGAACTTTCTCACTACAGGTATGAAGCAGACTGTCAAATTTAATGCTCCCTATCTCATACCTGGTTAGAAATTTATACTGTACTTCAAACACTTTTTTTTTTACTCTCTTCTTGCCTAAATGCTTAGAATACTCCTGTATAAACAGTCATTCCATCTTTGGTTCAGGAAAGTATTGTTTTCTTTCTGTTTCCTAGTGACATCTGTTGAGAGTTCACCAACTTCCTGATGCTTATATGTTGATTGTATGGTATAATGCACAGATGTTCCTTTCAAAATTTGCTTTTGCCCATAAAATAACATGAAAGATGTTTTTGTTACAGAAGAAGACAAAATATGAATTTACAGTTTCTTTGATTCTAGCACTATGCCCGTTGAAAAATCGGAGTCAGGATACTGGGATAGCATAGATAGTATAACAACTGCCTATGGGATGGATGACCAAGATGTCAGAGTCCAAGTGCATGTAGGGTCAAGAATTAATTGTAATTAAGTAGACACCAATATTTCAAAGGAACTTAGTGCCTCCATCTTCTACCCTGAAGATGGAGGAAGATGGAGATAACTGTCCATCAGAGTACATGGCATCGCATCCTAGAAGAGAGTAATTGTCAGTGACTTTTGTGTTCCGTGACAAGTTCCTCTTGGTTCTACAGATTTAATTATGATCACCAGTCAATGAACATTTTTTGTTGAAATTATAAATCCAAAAGTTGTTTCTGTCCCAAGGTAAAAATTTATTGTCAGGAAAGTACTTGCAATGTTCAAATTTTGACAGATATTGGTTCACCAGAAGGAATCAGCATAGACTGGGTGTCAAGAAATGTGTACTGGACAGACTCAACAAAGGATACCCTTGAAGTGGCAAACCTGGATAGCAAGCTGAGGAAGGTGATCATTTCTGAAGGACTGGTAAATCCTCGTGGAGTGGCAGTCCACCCAGCAAGAGGGTAAGATTTACCATGATTTGATATGAGCCACGAGACTGAAGGCAGTTGTACTCCTTCCAGTAGTCAGAGTAAACTCTAGTGCCTGCATGTATTCAGTCCTGAAGATACAAAATAGAATGTCTTCCAACCTGCTGTATACTGTACAGTTTTAAGGAAGTGTTCCCAAATTGAGTTCATGTAATATCCACTGACCCTGAATTACTTTTCTTATGTTGCATTTCCTGCAGCAGAAATATAATTCATCAGCTTCCACCATGCATCATGGCCTTGCAATTCTCCCAAGTTGTTGAGGATATTCCAGCATCCAGAAGTACATGAGAAGGACCACCTTGTCGATGGTAAAACATCACCATTTGAATGAAGCACTTTTCCACAGACTCCTTACCACATGATGCCTTTCATAAGCCACATGAGTGTGATGCTCTTAACTTAATTTGTGACTCCCATCCGGTCACTGGATCTGCCATACATCATTGCTACATTCAGAACACTGATAGCATTTCCCGCAAGACACTTAACTGCTGCAGCTTCTGCACAACTTGCAACTTACCGTACATCAGAAGCAAATGGTGCACATTAAGAGAGCTTGCAGTGAACCTTGACTGTGTTTAGTGTGACATGACTTGGTGATGTTTGTCTTCTTGCAAACTGAAGCATGGATAATTGTGTATTGTTCACCCATAGCAGAAAAGGATGATGACATTGCAGAGTACAATTAAGCAGGCATGTAAGATATGTACTATTAAAAATAGTGATCCTACTCAGATTTTAAGGTTTCATGTCAAATAAGTTTTCTAAAATCTTTTCAGGCCATCTGATTGATGATGGAGACAGAGGAGATCTTTGAAACATTGGTTTGTAACTCAACATATATATTTTTGACCACCCGAGAAGATTTTAGTGCAGTTATCCAAGTTTTTCTGAAGTGGTTCCATCTCTTTTTCAAAATGTTTCCCACTCCACCCAAGGGGTGCACCACCCCCATCCCATTACAGAAGTATGCAGCTTCAGCTGCAACTCCAAAATTTTCAGTTAGCAGCTACTGAAGTACTGTAACTTTTTGATATGACATCACATTATGACAAATGAACCAATGGAAAATGAAAAGCAAACATATAAATAAAAAAAAAAACAAAGCGGTCTTGTCCTCATGTGAAAATACTGAAAAAAAGAGCAGTGATAGCAAGTTATCATATAATATATTTTAGGAAGATAGACAACTGCTGAACAGAGGGAAGGAGGTGAGGAGAAGCAGGAGTGCTGCGCAGAGACTGAGCTTTATTATTCATCAGGTGTTGTCATATGAGCAGCAGAGAGGCATGGAGACTAGCTTGACACCTCATGCTGTAAAATAAGGAAGCAGGAAGCAATCATTGAATATTTTTAATGAATATAAATGGATAAAAAATAAAATCTGAACTCGCAAAATCATTACAAATTATGGCTGCATAATGTTATTTGTTGGCGAGAATGGAAGCCTTATTTTATGATTAATGACAGCAATACTTTGTATCAACATGCCCACTAATGAGGGCTAGAGTTTTCTGAGCTGTGACGCTGTGTAGTATAATAGCTGCCTAAATTGCTTCTATGATTTCTAGGCTGCCTTTGGCCTGAAGATAGAGGCAGCAGGTTCCTCTGAAACTATGGTATGATAGATCAGACTATACAGCATCACACCTCACAAATATCACACACCTGTTGGTCTCTTCTTTATCGAGCTGTGGCTAAATCTAATTACTTTAATACAGAACAAAAGTATTATAGCATGAAACTTGCTAGAGTGAAGACTATAACATTCGGGTATTTCATTTTAGTAGATCAGTCTTTTAATGGGTAAAAGCTAAAACTATCCCTGTAACAAGCCATTGAGGCCCACAGTGTTGTGATACGTCAAGGCTTCATGTTTTGTAGACAGTCTGCTCACAGATGCCGATAAAGTTGTTAGGCTGCCGTTTACCCCCAGGAAGATTCCTGGTACTGATTTCTCTTAGATTCTGAGTTGACCTGAGGGCAATGTTGTAACTGGAAGAATTAGGTCAATTGAAAATATCCAATGACATTGGCAATCAAACCCACTACCTTCTGGCTTGTAGCATAATGCTTCAACCAACTATGCTACCGCATGCCCCTCTTTTAATGGTTTGGGAGGATAATTGTTTTATTCTAATTGATCTACAGAGGGCTGCATGAGATGCATGGAGTAGCATCTAGAAACTGGGAAATCATATCACCATGTGCTTGAAGACAGAGGGAAACCAAATTTATTTAAATAATATTTTAAAGTTCAGTTACTACTTCACAGAGATTATTGCACCACCGTTAAAAAGACCAAGTATGTGCTTATGGAAGTAATCACTGTTTATTTTGAGAATCATATGATATACATCCCCTCGTTGGTGTCTCCACCTTATCGTGGTGAGGGTGTTTGAGTATGCCAAGGACCCTGAGAGCTATACCAGCGGTAGCGTAGCTACTGGCAGGGCCTCCCTTGCTGGACAGGTCAAAGGGTAGGCATCAGACGAAGAGAGACACCGAAAAATGATGCCAGAAGCAGCGTCATCAGCGGCGACTGGAAGCACAGAGAAAATGATGCTCGAGATGGTTCAAGTTCGTATAGCAACAGGCGTGACCAGAGTGGTTTGAATGGCTGTTGTACTGCGATGTGGAAAGCAAATGGAAAAACTACCACATTATCACTTTTCCTGGATAGTCTCTTTCCAAAAACAGAAGATCGCATTAAGTGGAGAAACTGCTTTGGAAGAGGCTGTGGACCTGTCATCTGACAGATTACTGATGAATGAATGAATGAATGATATACATAAACACACACTATGGACATAGTGCAGCATTTTGTAACATCAAAGCAGCTTGTGCATACAGTAATCACTGTGCTTTAAAGGTTTAATTGTTGGGTGATGTATTTACTGAGTCACATTAACTTTTCAATAAACTAACTTAAATTGTCAAATTTTTATTATCAGCTTCCTTTCGAATATTGGACCTATTGAAGCCTGTTACAGATATTACAAAACAGAATCCTTCCACTATTTTAGAAGTAATCCCAAATGTCTTTTTGCTTTTGGTTGATATTTTCAAATGTTTTTTTCTGAATCCTGTCAGAGCTTATCCTGTAAATGTGTTATTTACAGTTTCTTTCATGTTATTCAGTAAGGTACTGAAATCAGTTTCAAAATCGGCGACTGTTCAGATTGTTTAAATGATGCAGGAAAGTGTTCTGGTCAGACTGGAATCGTGAATCACCAAAGTTGGAGTGGGCAAACTCTGATGGCACTGGTCGATCTGTCTTTCTGAAGGGAGCTGCAGTGAAGCTTCCCAACTCTTTGAGCATTGACTTTGACCGGGATGAATTGTGCTGGGCTGATGCTGGGACGAAATCTATTGGTAAGAAACATCATTACTTGGAAACAGAAATACACATATGCCTTAATACTAAACTGTAATATTGTTAGCAGTGAGCTGTGACTTTACATCAGGAGGAGGCTGGATGATTATTCCTCTGGGATTTCCAGCCATAAATTCATGATTTTGTTTTGCATCTGTGTGGCATACCCTCTAATGAGATTTGAGATTCTTACAGTCGTGAATATTAATATTGTCACATGTTAGTAACTAGACATGGGGTTTGGATTGATAACTGGATTTATTTGATTCTTATACCCATAACTACAAATGATTATAACACTCTCACTAATTTACATACCCTAGAAATCACTACAACTGCAACGCACACACACACACACACGCATGCACCCGCATGCGCACACACAGAGTCTTCTGTTTGTTAACCTGTTGCCACTAGTCATTGCTGGGTAGCAGCTGCTAATAATGGAGACTCTTCATGGTCCACCATGAACTGCCACTGCTAACTTACAACTCATGACTGTCAAAGTCAAAGTTATTTATAACAGTCAGTCAGTCAGCCAGTCTATCTTGGTATTAAGCACCCATCTGGGGCCCAAGACCAGATTTTATTACTGTCAGACAGCTGCAAGTTTGTTCATGTGGGCCACCCTCTCTGACAAGAGGATGGGTCTGTTGTTTAAAACTGCTGCTGGCCCTCGCCAGAACAGTCATTCTCAGGTCTGAGTCCTGCAGCACCCATGACCATATTTTACTGTCTCAGATTCGAGACTCTTCCAGGATGGAGGTCTAGGTCCAGGTATTTATATCCCCCAGGAACAGGGTGGCCCAATTATAACCACAGACATAGGTTTTCTTTTCTTTTTTTTGTTGCCTCTTGTGAGTCACAGGGCTATGGTGGAGGTATTTGAACCCACCTCAGTGTGGGGTAACTCATGACTACTGCTGCTGATCCTTGTTATATGGGGTCAGATCAGACCAAACAGAAAATACAACAGTTCCTCTATTGTTGTATGTTGATTAATTGATGCAGAAACATGTTTACCATGTCACTGCCTCTATTCACTCCACTATTCCAGCTTTCAGCCAACATGGCACAGTGTTGTGGTCTTCTGTGGTGAGAAACCATGTATTTTGGTAGATAGGTACCAACATTTCAGAGGAAGCTACCACCTCCATTTTGAGGAGGGGAAGAGTGACCAAAACAGAGGAGAACAGTGCATGATAAAGGGAAGGGAGCATCAAGGCCAAGGCTATGACTAGACCAACTGATGGCCATGAAGAGGGCTGTTTTGTCACAGTGGAAAAAAGAAGAAGTATAAGAGAAATGGTGGTGAAGAAGATGGGTTGCAAAAAAGAAAGAAAAATATGAAATAAAGCTCCTATATATAAAAGCCTAAGGCTTGCTCTACCTCCATCATTACGAGTATAGACGTCACTTTTATTAGAAACAGTAACTGAATTGACCACGAGGTGGCAGTAAGAGAAGTTCATATGCTTCAGTTCAGTCAGCATTTCAGTCTCAACCTTTGCCAAATACAGTCAATTCTTGATTATCCCGGGGCGGATTAACTGGTTTGCAGCTTAACCGTGGATACTGAGGCTTTTTTTGAGGCTTATATGTTGTTTAATATTCATTCACTTTTGTTTCACATGGTGAGTTGTAACACGATTTTTTCACTAGTGTGAACCGAGCTCTGCATTCTTTGGTCCCATTATGCTAACACAGTGTTCTAGGGTAGGGGTGAAAGAATGCAAGGATTTGTGGAAAGTTTCAAGGACAGATACATCGCCCCAGTTAGCTTCTTTGTATCAATCTTCAAGTGCATTAGCAAAATGTCAGGGTGTAAAAGGAAGCATGTTGTGTTAAGTATTCAACAGAAAAAGGAAAATGCCGCGAGAAAGTAAATGACAATATTAAATTCTTTTAAGTGTTAAGTGTGAATATTCGTAAAAAGTGTTGGATGTTGTTGAACACTGTGATTGAAATAACTAATTCATACTTCAGTGTAATGTAAAAAAAAGTATTAAATAGGCCATGAGATGACATAAAAATGAGGTTGAATAAATTTAAATACAGGTAGGCCTATAGTATTATGAAGGTACAGTATTACAGTAGTACTTTTAATAAAATTTGTCTTAACCGGGTTTTCGATTAATCGTGATTTCCATCCCCACCATTATCCCGGATAATCGAGAGTTGACTGTACAAATTTATATTGCTGATGGCATGTATATTTCATTGATGATACTGTCACAATTTAGGGGTGACTATAGACAGGGTGTGGATGAATAAATCAATTTATTGACCACCTATACACACCACTCAAAATTACAAGTAACTACAGTGTCATTGCTAATCTTCACACTTTACAAGTCACTTCTGCAAACACCAAGCCTTCTCCAGCCTGTAGTGCCTTCAACAGCTGTTTCCTGGCAGTGGCTTCTAATAGTGGAGATTCTTCAGCTTCATGTGCTCAAGTCCCTCCTCTCCAGCGAATATCTCACAAGATGAACTCTCTTGTTTCCCCTCAGCTCGTCTGTGGTCATCATTATATACCCTCAGGGCAGACCCAACAGAAAACACTGCTTTCATCAGTTCTCTTTGTTGTTATGTGTGGTTGCCTAGTGATAGCTCGGATATTGTTGATGCTTTTACCAGCCATTATCAAGCAGCACATGATCACTCTCACGTTCTTTACATAACAGTGGCCATGCACACTACATTGCTCCTGCCATAAGGCTTTTCATCCTGAATTACATACATGTGTTCCGCTATTTCTTCTTTTCCAACGGCTGTGCTTGTGACATCTGTGATTGGTCTCACCTTCTTTCCCATTGGTCAGTTTTCACAGTTACTTCTCTCAAACCACTCCTGCTACTCCCTTCTTAAGGCTGCTCATCCTGAGCAGTTCCCTCATTGGGTGCCAGTTTGTCCAGGTTTATCACCATAATCCTGCTTTTCTGATCAGGGGGGTCAAAAGATACAAGAGTGGTCATTGCTCCTACATCCATTCCTCTTAGCCTGCTCTTGTTAGTGGCCTCTTATTTCGTTTTGGAGGGTGCTGACCCCTGCACAATTTCGATATTTTTCAAATCCCGACTGAAGGATCAACTCTTCACTTGACAATCTCCAGTATGAGAGCCTTCCTGTAGATCCCAGTGAATGTCCTCTATTTTTAAGGCATGGCTGCTCTTTTAAGTCTCAGTTTCTTATGCCATTACCACATTCCAGTTTTGGCTGATGTCCCTTCCCAAAAATCCATCATTTCCGGGTTCCTAGTATAACACTGCCCTTGCCTGGTCCTTGATGACATGTCCTTCATGCCATGCCATGCCATGCCACTCCTGCCTGGCAGGTCATCCCATGGCAGGCGGCCAACTTCTTCCAGGACCCACCATCACCCTGCGTCCATTTCTTCAGTTGACCATGGCACCTTATGGCCTTATTGGTACAAGCAGTAGCTAGGGATCAGAATTGTTTGTCATGAAGGTTGCATGTACTTTTTGTGTTTCAAATCATTCAGAATAATGTGCAGCTGCATACAAGGGAAGATGGCAAAACCTACATGAATAAGCTGGAGTGTATGATAGTCATAGCAACATAATTGCTGTTAGCAAAATTCATGATGTCACTGTGTTCATTTTGTATTTTAAAACCAAGTCACCGAATGACCAACAGTTAGAACTGGTCAGATTGTAAGTGGAAGAAATACATCTGTGTTATTTATTGGTGAGCCCCATAATGTTGATTGTAGGGCTCTGTTGCTAGTTGAAGAGGGAGATTAGGTATTTTCAGCGAAATTTGTTTTTTTATAAGCAGGCATGCTGGAAACAGCATATTGTTATGCTATTAATTTCAGTGGACGTGTCTTAACGTAAGTGGACATGTTTTTCCAAACACTTGGAGGTTACGTATCTTTGATAAAGTTTGTTTTAAAAATTCCCTGTTGGAATTTGAGCATTCATTGTGGTAGTAAATGAGTAAATAAATAAACAAATGAAAGAAGGAAGCATAATTAGAAGAAATTGTCAAAGTCTAGTTGTTAGTTAAGATTGTGCTTCTCCTTGTAATTTTAGATTTATGCTGTTACTTTAGTCTGTATATATTGCTTGTTGTTGATCCTGTTATTGGGTGATGGCATTGTATAGATATGGGATGTGACCATAGAGTCTACATGAAGCTGATATACACATCCAGTGTGACAAAAATCAAAATATTATTAGTATGCATTAAGATAAGTAATTCCCTTGCATATCATGTTACAGAGTGTGTGGGAATTGGCACATCAGTTAGGAGAACAGTTGTCTCAAACTGTAGTTACCCATTTGGACTTGCGATCTCCACTCTCAATTACTACTGGACAGATTGGGACACGTAAGTATTTGAGTAATATAAGAACAGCAAGTGGAAAACATTCTATATGGCTCCTGTTATTCTGTAAAACTTGATTTTGATTGCTGTAGCCCATCTGGAAATGTTACACTCTTTGAATAGCATGCTAATTATTAATATATTTTCCAAATCCTTTTTTTTTTAAAGATTAGCTCTGCAGCCTTTATTAATTCATGTCCTATTGTGACCTGTGTTTACACCCAAGTAAAATGTGTCTTTATTCATTAATTGAGAACATTATGAAGTGATCTGAGTGTTACCCCAGGATTAGTTTGTATGCCTGCAAGTTTTTGCTGCCTTTTAGTAGAATGTTTCTGGAACACAGATCTATGAGGTTCTATTGGAAAGTTCCCAGACTAGGTCAAAAAAGAAATGCTGGCTTAACTTACTCAATTCTGACTGTCATCTCCCTCAAAATAGTTTCCTTGGGAATGTATACAGCGATCCCATCGTTTTTTCCATGCTTCATAACCACTGTGGAAGTCATTTGCCTTAATGCTGTCGAGTGCCGCTTGCAATTCCCTTTGGATGTCAGACCCTGTTTCAAACGGAAGGAGGTAGCAACGTGGTGCGTGTTCAAAATTTCTGTTAAGCTATCCTGACAAACTCCATAACTCATCCCTATGGTTTCTGTGAGCTCATGGATTGTTTGGCGACGGTCTTCATGGGTGAGTTCTTAAAATTGTTAACATTTTCTGGTGCTTGATCACCCTGAATGTTCATCATATTCAACTAACATTCAACCGGCCTTGAAACATGAATGCCATTGAAAAATCACTGTCCAGCTTAAAATTATGTTCTCTAAAAGCCTCACGAAGCATTTCAAAGGTTTCAGTAGTGAAACACAAGACTTGATGCAGACATGTCACTCAATTTTGCCATCTATCACAGACAAAATGAAACAAGAAGTCAAAAAAGCACTCGTGTAGTAACAATGCATGTTCACAGCACAGTGTCACGTGACACACTAATGCAGTAGGCTTTCAGAAGTCTGACCTTATCCTCCCCTCTCATCTTCTTTCACTGAGTCAGTTACAACAATAACAGTCCGGGAACTTTCCAATACCACCTTGTATTATGATTCATCAGAAAGAGAGTTATAATTCTAATGTTCACTAATATCAAGTTATTGAATAACACTGTGGGTAGTGCTAACCAGAGTTAATGATGTAACCAGTTAAGAGTCAGAGTTGTTTATCTCAAAGCAAGAAGCTACAGCATGTACACATTGACGTCTGTGCAGAGTACTATATTCTGGCATATGACGCCATGTAGTCAGTTTAAAGTCTACCATTTTTGGAGGACTATATCTGTGAGTATCTGTAAAATTTTATGAGGATGCTTTAAACTAAATTGACTTGTATGTTATATATACACATGTATGCATGGTTAGAATAACAAACGTAAAATGTAAGGCATTATGAGTTCCTAAGGGGTGGACCTCATTAAGAAGGTGCATGCTCAGCCACATGTAACACACAAAAATTGCAGAACAATGTAGCATACCAGTTTTGAAATTAAATAATATTGTATTTAAATATATTAAATATATGTATTATATTTAATTACAGTGCTAAATAATATACTCGAGCATTGTGTCACTACTCAACCAGGCAGAAATAAGTTAAAACCTTAAAAATATGAGAAGGCTGAATCAGTGCTTCTAGAGTAGTTTGGCATTTGTGTGTGTGTGTGCACCCGTGCCAATTCAAGATCCAATATTTAGACAGATGGCTAAAGAAATGGCCTTAAAAATAAACATTGAATTCGCTTTTTTTTTAATGGATTGCTTGATGAATCCAGAAAACATGCAGGGCCTAGGAACACAGCCATGAGTGTGGAACACAAAATTATCACTGAAGAGAAAGTAGGTGCCTGGAAGACGGGGGTACTTCCATTACTTCTGGGTGAAAATCATGCAAAGAATGTGTTTAATGCAGATGAGTGGGTTATTCAGCCTACACATGGATGAAAGCAGTCTTGGGGACAAGGGGATAAAGATATACTTACTGTGCTTGTGTGTGCAAATATGGATGGATCTGAAAAGATGCCATTGCTGGTAGTTTGAAAATATGAGAAGTCAGGGTGCTTCAAGCATGCATTTAAAGATGTAAAAGTAGTGCAAGGGAAACTTGTGCTCTATTCCTGGAGTTCCTAATGTGTTCAGATGGGATGATAATGGTCAAAAAATGAAAATACTGTTGTGTTTATATCAGTATGCACAACTATTTCTTTATTGACATTTCTGACATGCCACTGTCAATCATAATAGAAACATTTGGAAAGTGGAAAATTCTGCTTCAGATGTAAACTTTTGAAGTGTACTCTTTTAAGATGTTTCTCCACATAAGAACTGTATATTTCTTAGTCCCTTGGGAAGTTTCTTGAAAGGAATCCACTGTATATATTAGATATGGTTTAAGTATATTGATCTCTGGCAACTGTTTGAACAGGCAGAAGATAGAAAGTGCACAGAAACCTTCGGGTCATACAAATAAGCCCATCACTGTTCCTCTTGGGGGCAGTGGCAAGATGTACGGAATTGTGTCAGTTCCTGAGTTCTGCCCTAGATGTAAGTATACACAGATTTACAGCAAAGTTTCTACAGATAGTTCTTGTTTTAGATATGTTTGATAGACTTTAGGTCGTCATCCTGAAACTCCAGGGTCTTCTCAGAGGTTCTTCAAGTATATTTGTATTACTTTGAATTTCAATTTGAATGTCATTTCTGAAACCATCTTGATTTTAAACTGCAAATCTGGAATCCATTTCTAACCTCATGTTCATACTTGAAGCAGACTTGATCCAAGACAGTAGCAAAGAAACTTTTTGGGGAGGTGTGCTTTGTGTTTTTGAATGGAGTTGAGATAGCTCAGCTGGACTAGGCTGTGGGCTCGCTTACTGAGGAACTGTGGTTTGATTCTTAGGAGAGGCATTTGAATCTTCTCTCCTCCACAGTTTCCATACAGGCTCTGGGGCCCACTTGCACTCTTATCCAGTGGGCACAAGGGTGTCTTTCTCCAGGGGCAAAGTGGCTGGGGGCATGAAGCTGACCACTCACCTCCAGCTAGTGCCAGAGTGAAAGATGTGTGGCGCTTTACCTCCACCTCCCAATATCATCATGCTGTGGTGCTTAATTAAGCATAGAAATAACTTTACCTTTAAATTTATGAATTTTCTTCTACCAAAAGGAGTTTGTTGCATTTGGAAAATTTGCATTTAAACAATTCTTATTATCTGGCAGTACAGAATAGTACTCAGTACTAGAACTTCTTCTAGTGGAAGAAAGTAGGAAAAAAGAATTGGATTGAAGTTGCCTGTTTTACTAGTGGCGGCAGCAGTGGCGGCAGTAGTCAACAGTAGTCGGCAAAAGCAGTAGCATGAGTGTATCCCAGTCACAACTATTGAGTTATTGTGGGGTTTTATACCTCCATGTAAAATATTTGACTTTCCTGTCCAATGTCTGGCCATGGTGAAAATAGGAATCTGCATTTTTGATGGTCACATCCAAGTGGACAGGATTTAAGTTTTGCCCCTGATGATAGAATGACGACAGTGATGATATGATGGCTGTTATCTGCACAACAAAAGGTCAGTGAGGGAAAAGTAAGACATGCAGAAAAATTTTTGCTGAATCTGTCTGGCCTCAAACCTGAGACACTATGCACATAAGGTTATTGTTTACCCCTTCAATTTCAGGCCATCTCTGAATTACATTTAGTTACATGTCAAAGCATTCAGGCTGTGTGTGGCTTGGTTTCTCATCCCAGAGTCATGGATTCAATCCCAGGTGACTTTATACTAGATTCTTGGTGGATGAAGAGACACTGAAACAGATTTCTTGTGCAGTTGCTTCAGTTTTCCCCTGCTTATGAACATTCCATCATTGCTCCATACTCAAGTGTCCTGTCTCCTGAGGCGCAGCAGTAGCTATGTCCAGGCATCACGTTACCACATCCTCACTGGGGACCTCATCTCTGACCTGCCTCTTGGATGGTTACACAGTAAGGAATTTGGAAGTTAGATTAAAACTCTGATTTGAAAACTTATAGATTTTAACAGATTTATTTTGTTCTCTCTTTCAGTATCAAATGCCTGTCAATTTCAAAGTGAGGCTTGTGGAGAAGGTCATCTCTGTTTGCCAAATGGCATTGGAGGCAGAAGTTGTATTTGTGCTGATTCAGGCAGTGAAGGTTCAGGCGAAGTAGACAGCTGTAACGATGTAGTATAATTCATGGATTGACCACAGATGAACACACAAATCGAATCGTGTGTGTGTATCCTGAAGTAATAGCCTCTTTTAATGGGCAAGAAAAATAAACTGAAAACGCAGATTAGCTCTATAAGATTTGAGGCTTTCACGGCGGTGACTATGAAGAAAGCAGTCTTCTGGGATTTGGCACCGTGTATGTGTGGTGTTAACCGATGTTTCAAAGGAACGTATATTTTTCTACCCTGAAGATGGAGGCGATACGTTCCTCCGAAACGTCGGTTAACACCACACATACACGGTGGCAAATCCAAGAAGACTGCTTTCTTCATAGCTCTATAAGGTTTTGAGTTTTTGTGGTGTGATATAGGGTGTTTTGGCTCACTGTGCTACATATGCTGGAACCTAAACTGAGTATAAAACATCTTTTCAGATGTGTTATTATCAGATAGTGACACAGATCCCTACACCATTAGAAAGTTACTAGATTCTATTTTCACCATATAATAGGAAACAAAATTGGTGAAATGGAGATCACTGATCAGAAACTTCTTTCCTTGTGTAAGCCTCTTCACCATATGATGTACCCACAAATACATTTCAGACAAAGTGTATTGCCTTCATCTTCAATGTACAAATGGCTACTGCATTAATTTCCTTACAAACATTGAAATTTGTTTCAAATACAGAATTATGTTAGAACTCAGAATACTCCTCGCTGCATGGTGTAATATTACTGAGTGGGATTCAAAATGAATGAGGTATGATCAGAGGAAACAATTACTTGAGTCGCAAGAAGTAAGAAACCTATGCCAGAACAGTCCATGAGCTGGGGTTTCTCTGTACTGTAGAATATTTAGATAACACTATACTGGTAAATGAATTTTGTCTTTGTGCCATAAAAACAGTGCATCATATTTTTATAGGGATTCTGAATTTCTAAACACAATTTAATTTTAAAACATTCATGTCATTTTCATGGCTAATTGTGATTATGTAATATCAAATGTGATGTGGCCCAAACTGGATATGTCTGTGGTGAAAAGTGAAAGAAAATTTTTAACTGAGAGACAAGGGATAGGCAGCAGGAGAAGCAACTAGCAATTACAAAATATTGTTTCTGTTGCTGGAAGCTATGATCCCAGTGCTTGTATAATGGCCTATATCTGGGCAGGGAGGTTCGCTATGTATCAACAGAGATGGTTATAACTCCCATGAAGAGTACTGTCTTCTGGGATATGATGTTAGCCAATAGTTAACTGCTGTGAGAACATAAAATCCGACATAGCCACTATATTTGCCATATAGTCTGCATTTACCCTATGTACTGGTAATGTCATTTGAATATATTACTTGATGCACCCAGGTCCCTCTAAATTTCTCTGGTGTTTCCACAGTGTGTGGTGGGCAGTGACTAGCAGGATGCAGTCCTTTAAAGTAGCACTGCTATGTCAGTGTGGCATAAGGAGGACTTTTCAGACATTTGCACAGTTTTGTGTAATGTTAGCAGCACTGTAGAAGGCCAGGATAGCGCAGTCAGTATAGCAACTGGCTATGGGCTGGACAACCGAGGGATCGGAGGCCTGGTGGGGATAAGAATTTTCACTCTCCATGTTTTGATCGGCCCTGGGGCCCACCCAGCCTCCTATCGAATGAGTATGAGGGGGGGGGGCTCTTTCCCCAAGGGTAAAATGACCGGGGCGTTAAACTGACCACTCACTTCCAACTAGTGCTGACATCAAGAAAACATGGGTCTACACATCCACTTCCCCATACATCTTCATGGTGTAGTGCTTAATTAATTAAGCACAGGGACAACTTTACATTTTAACAGAACTGTGGACCCCAGCAGACTGCCTGTGCTACAACTGTGGTGGTGGAAAAATGTGACAAGTTGTGTAGTCTACACTGTTCACTGTTTGTGTTCTGCATTGTAGCAGATTTATTTCATGTGACTCAGCAGATATTTGCATGTAGGAACTCAGGAGAATAAGAAAAGCTTAGCATTATTTGAGATGAAACCATCTTCAGAGTGCAGCAATACATGTTAGCACTGCTGCGTATATTCCGAGTCTCAAACTGCAAAGACCCTTGTATGTAAGATCTAAGAGTTTGTGACAATGGTATATTAATACAGTTATTGTGTTTCTGGACATTATCCTTCATCCTTTTGTATTTACTCTCGTAGATGGTTTGTGCTGTGCCTGGTTTATATATCCTGTCTCATGTTGGTGCTGGTGTCTGGAGATAAGGACTAGCTATATCGATTGGGCCCAACTGAGTAGGTTCCACCTGAAGATGGAGACAGACTAATCCAGTCTCTGAAACACTATAAGTTTTAAATAAAAACAGGATTATGAATAATGTCCAAAAACACAATAATTGTGCTCTTACACATATTTGTTCAGATGTTGTGCAGTTTCATGTGTAAGCCAAAGCATGTAGTTACAACAAAATTTATTATATTGGATTTGAAGTTCTCACAACAGTGCATCTGAGGAGTACTATCATCTGCGATGTGCCACTGTATAGTTTGGTAGGAGTTCCCCTGTGTTTTGGAGGAACATACATAGAACTTGCTAGTTGCATGCTCATGATGTGGTAAGTGACCTTTCCGTGCTTGACATTGGGCAGATGGAGCTCAGTCTCACATCTCACTTGTTTTGTTGAGGAACTCTTCTTTTATATCTTTTACAAAACTGACTGTGCTCTCCTGAGACTTTATGTGATTTATCACAATTCCTCAAGAAGAATGGTGCAGTGTCTTCCAGTGATACAAAACCACTTCATGCTGAGTCCTTCCCTGTTCAGAATTCATGAGAGTACATGAACTGTGCTTCTGATACTGCACTGCTAACCTACAAATTAATTTCCACTTCTCAACGTGCATACCTCATTCTGAAATGTTACAGATTATGTTTTGTGCCAAATAAAGGACCAAGAAATAAACATCCCAGTCTCTACATTGGTATTTTGTAATCTTATATTCTCCATACCAAATGTCATGGTTTAGCTTTCCTTCTTTGTATTCTGGATGTCCCTGCTTCAAATCTTGGCCTGAAGACCAGCTGTCCTGACCTGAAACTTTTCTGAATTTCCTTGGACCCTTTAGGTAAATGTTGAATGAATGAATGAATGAATGTATGAGGAGTAGGCCTTCTTGGCCCTTGCACCATGACCTGCAGTGGTCTATTGTGCTTCCCCTTTTTAATTATCCCTTCAGCAATCCTGCTCTTCAGATGAGGCCTAGGATTTTGAGCGTGGGGATGTCAAAATAGTCACTTGGTTCCATAAAGTATTGACCCAAGTGACGTAGTCTTAAATAAGCTAATGCCTCACATTCACACAGGATATGTGTGGCTGTTTCGTTTTCTTCCTGACACCTTTCACAAGTGGGACTATCACTTAGTCCCAGTTTGAATAGGTGTCCTTTGAGGTGGCAGTGTCCTGTAAGTAGTCCTACCACCCATCGTAGCTGGTTCCTGTTTAATTTCAACAGTTCCTTTGCTCTTTTAATGGAAGGTCCTCATATGAGTCCCTTCGCTTGCCTGAGTCCAATTAAGGATCCCCAGTATTTCTTGTGTTTCATGTTAGTCCAGTCCCTGATTGCCCGTTTGGCAACTCCTATAGAAATGCCACAGGCTGGTTCAGGTCCTATGAATGGATGTTCAGCTCCAATCTTAGCTAATTGGTCTGCTCTTTCATTACCAGCAATACCTTCATGCCCCGGTACCCATATCAATTGTACCCTGTTATGTTTGGCCAGTTCCATGAGGGTTTGGTGGGAATCCAAGACCAATTTTGAATTGATCTGGTGTTTGTCAAGTGCTTAAAGTGCTGCTTGGCTGTCAGATAGAATGTATATGTTCCTATTTCTATCGTTCGTACCTAAATTCTCCATAATACATGCCTTAATGGTATATACTTCTACCTGGAATACTGTCACATACTCCCCAAGGCTGAAACTAAGTTTCTGCCTTGTGCCATGGCAGTACACACCAGCTCCAGTGCCTCTGTGTGTCTTGGAACCATCTGTATACCAGATCAGTCCCCCTTTTCTGTCAGGCTGAAACCCGTCTTCCCATTCACTCCTTTCAGGAAATCTGACTGTTAAGGGTTTTTCATATACATGTCTCAGTATCATTTTGTCAGACCCCATTTGTAATATGGGTTCTGTTTTCATGTCCTGAGTCATGTCTGCATGGCCAAAACCATCAGATCTAGGTTTCCATTGTCCACAGCACTGGAGACGGTAAATTCCTGCCCTGGCCTCTGCATCCATCTGCATATGCAGTGGGGGGAGTCCAAGGAGTATCTCCAGTGCAGCTGTTGGAGATGTTCGAAATGCTCCTGTAATAGCTAAGAAAGCCAACCTTTGCAATTTGCCAAGTTCTGTCTTGCTTGTCTTGAATTTAACTCTGGGCCACCATACTGTGACACCATAAGTAATTATAGGTCTCACAACCACAGTATATATCCAACATACAACGTGTGGCTGCAGTCCCAAAGTTTTACCAAACATGCCCCTGCATGTTCAAAAAGCCTTGTAGGCTTTGTTAATGACTTTGTCCAGCTGCTTTTTCCATGTCAGTCCCTTGTCTAATATTAGACCAAGGTACTTGACATCGCTGGAGAGGTGGATTATCTTATTGAAGAGAATCGGTTCCTTAAGACCCTTTACATTTCTCTTCCTAGTAAACGGTATGATTACCGTCTTGTTGGGATTGATGGAGAGACCTGTTCTTTCACACCATCGTTGGACCATGTATAGAGCTGCCTGAAGACGCTCTGATACAGTCGGAAGGAATTTTCCATTTATGAGGATTGCTATGTCATCAGCATATCCTGCTGTATAATACCCATCATCATTAAGTCCCCACAAGAGATCATCGACGACCAGGCTCCACAGCAGAGGCGAACGTATGCCCCCCTGCGGACATCCCCTAGACGCGGACACCCCCAAGGTTTCTCCCGATAATGTAGCAGCTATGATTCTGCTTTCCAGCATAGCATTGATCCATCTGCATATTGCAGGCTCTATGCCATGCCTTCCAGCAGCCTGTTTGATTACATCAAATGAGGTTCTATCAAAAGCTCCCT